AATGGAAAAAGGCCTTGTGAGTATAGAGAATGTATGAAATCCAGTACATAGAAGTTTTACCTCAGTAAATAGCAAAGGAGTCACACTGGACAAAGACCTGATAGTTACGGGGAATTTGGCAAATTACTTAAGAAGTACCCCCTCACTGAACACGAGAGTTCACAGTTGAGAAAGGCCATATGACTGTAAGGAATTTGTGAAATTAGCCAGAAGAGCTGCATTACTTACTATTCATAGAACATTCACAATGGAGAAAGGCCATATAAATGTGAGAAATCATTTTCCTACAGCTCTGCATACCATGTTCATAAGAGTTCACATTGGACAAAGCCTTATGAGAGCTTTGAGTAGAAAATGCTTTGTGGGAAAACTCTGGTCTCTAATGGAGAGTTCATACTAGAGAAAGGCTTAACAGTGTAGCAAATGTGGAAAGACATTTACCAGAAGCTCTGCCCTGCGAGTTGACACTAGAGAAAGCCCTTCTCAGTGAAGTAAATTTGGAAAATTGATTAGTCAAACCTGTATGACTTCAAGATCAGAGTTCACACTGGATCAAGGGTTTATGGTATGACAAATGTGGCACATTATTTATCTAAATGTCTAGCTTTATTATGCACAAACAAGCTCCTGCTGTGGAAGTGCCTTTTGAGTGCAAAGAGTTTGATGAAGGCTTTACTTTTCTTTCATTGGATACCCTAGAATGTTGACAGAAGAAAAATACCATAGATGTACAGGAATATTTCTTGTCCAGTGTAACTCTGGGAGAGAGCACTTATGAGGACACCATCAAACCTATACTGAATGTCATACGTCCAGTAGCTGCATAAATTCCAGGTATATGGGAGCTGTATTGCATTTCTCATTTTGCGTGTGTCCCTTGCCAGATTTATTTCAGTTAGGTTTCTGGCAAAAGGCATTTTACCTCTACCACTTTGCTGGTGCCCACAGTGTCTCACTCATGTACTCCATCATATTCCAGAAAAAAAGTTCAGTTGTCTCCCATTCTGCAGTGGGATTTTTGAGTAGGCTCTGCACTCATTCCTTTCTGATTTCTCTTTTTATTTTTTAATTATTTTGTTTTTTGAGATGAAGTCTCACTCTGTCACCCAGGTTGGAGTGCAGTTGCATGATCTCAGCTCACTGCAACCTCCACCTCCCTAGTTCAAGCAATTCCCCTGCCTCAGCCTCCCGAGTAGCTGGAATTACAGGTGTGTGCCACCATGCCCAGCTAATATTTTTGCTGGTCTCAAACTCTTGATCTCATGATCCACCCACCTAGGCCTCCCAAAGTGCTGGGATTACAGGCCTGAGCCATTGTGCCCGGCCGCCTTTCTCATTTCTCTATGAGGAGTTGGGCCATGGACCTGCTTTGGTTTTGGCCTAGAGCAGAAGTGTCCAATGTTTTGGCTTTCCTGGTCCACACTGGAAGAATAATTGCCTTGTGCCACATGTAAAATACACTAACAGTAATGATAGCTGATGAGCTTTTAAAAAATCGCAAAAAACCATCATCATGTTTTAAGAAAGTTTACTAATTTGTGTTGGGCTGCATTCAAAGCTGTCTTGAGACACACTCGGCCCACAAGCTGCAGGTTGGACAAGCTTAGCCTAAATAATTTTTCTGATTACCTGACAAGATGGGTTGACTTTCCTAGGAATCTTGTGATTCTCACGATTCTTAAGATGGATTTTTGCAGCCTCTAACTCAGCAACCCAAGCACAACCTGCCTCTCATTGTTCCAGTTTCTGCTGTGATGAAGTTCTTGTTTAAGCTTCCTTCAATGTTGGGAATTGTATTCACTGTATTGAGTGAATTGTTTATTCATTGCTTTGTGTGGTTTGGATATGACATGGTTCTGGTACTATGAAGAGTTGAATAGCTTTTGTGACTCTGTGTGAACAGTATGTGTGACTCTCAGGGGACAGTATGAAGGCAGAATATAGCTCTGCATTTGTGGCCTAGTTTGGATGCTGTCTAAGGCCTCCAAAGAAAGACTTCAGGGCTTTGTGGTCTTTATTTTTAGACCAAATAGTGCAATAATTCATGTTTTCATTTTTGTAACACTGTAGTGCTTCTGAGAACAGCAAAAAATTATTCTCTAGTTTATAAGGAATATTGCATTATGCTCAGTAGTGGTGAAAGAAATCAGTTCTCGAGTCCTACAGTGCATTCACGTGTCCTGAAGTCCAGAATTCTGTAGGATAGTGTCCTACATTATAAACCTAGAGGAAGAAATCATAATCTTTTAATTTTTATTTTTTTAGGGACATGATGTCACTCTGAAACTCAGGCTGGAATGCACTGGCATGGTCATACCTCACTGCGGCCTCAAACTCCTGGGCTCAAGTGATCCTCCTGCCTCAGCCTCCCGAGTACCTGAGATTAGCCCAGGTAATTTAAGAATTTTTTGTAGAGATAGAGTTTTGCTATTTTACACTGACTGATGTTGAACTCCTGGCCTCAAGCAATCCTCTAGCATATGCCCTCGAAAGCACTAGGATTATAGGTGTGAGCCACCATGCCCACCCACAAATAATTTTTATAGAATTAGCATTTCTAGGTAGTCAAGCCGACTGTGACAGAATAGTTGGAATATACTTTTTTTAAAAAGGCATCCACAGTGACGCAGTTACTATGTCTGTGATGGACAAACAGGTACAGAAATTTTCACAACCTCTGTAATTAGGAATCTAGTGTAGCTTAGGTCATTGTCAGAGTAAATCTAAAGGTTTTGTGGATTTCTATAGCCTATCTGGGCTGCTTACCAAAAAGCCATCCCTGAATTATTAGGAGGAAGAGGATAGGGAGAAGGGAAATCTCTTAGCCTACTGATAGGTCCTTTGCAACCAGCCGGCATTCCAATTTAATCAGGTGGTAATGGTCTTCCTGGTTCATAAGTATTTGGTGTCACACAGTCTAGTTGCCCCCCTTAGAGTGTGATGAGAGTTAGTAGAGTCAATGTAGAATTGCATAACCTATTTGTCAAAAATACTGTTAAATCCAGAAAATCCTTTCAAATTAAATTTTTAAAACTGTAATAAGACTGGGCATAGTGACTCATGCCTGTTATCCCAACATTTTGGGAGCCCAAGGTGGGAGTATTGCTTGCGGTAAGGAGTTTGAGACTAGCCTGGGTCCCATAGTAAGACCCTGTTTCTTAAAAACAAAAAATACTGTCTTTCTCTCTGGCCTCTCCATCCTCCAAACAATCACTGAATTATAATATTTGCTTAACAGATTAGTGTCAATTTTCTGGAATTTTATATGACTAACATGTTTCATCTTTTCATACCTGAGTACTCTCCTGAGTCCTATTTATTTTGATGTTTTTTTATTTTTTATTATTTCACATAACAGGGATATATATTTTGACATTCATCAATCATGATATATAAGTAGTTCATTCTTTTTATCTTAGAATATGACATGCTTTAAAAATCACTGTATATACTGCTTATGGATATATTATTTCTTCTTGTTTTTGTCTGTTAGAAATAAAACTGCTTGTTACACACATTTGAATGCAGTTCTTCATATAAATAATGTTTTATTTCTCTTGTGTTAATTCCTTGGTGTGTAGTGCGCAACTCACGTGGTAGGTGAACATATATACCCCTCCCAACCTCAGGGAGCACAGCTTACATTTCCAGGAGAGACTCCTTCCCTCCAGTCAAAGAGAGGAGAGGGAGGGATGAAAAAGACTTTGTCTTGAGACTTGACACCAGCTCAGCTACAGTAGGGTAGGACACCATGCTAAGGCCCCTATTCTAGGCCCTAGCTCTGAATGGCATTTCTACATATACCCTGGGCTGGAAGAAAACTCACTTTAGGCTTCAGTCCTGGCAGGATTCATCACCTGCTGACTAAAGAATCATTGGGCCCTGAATAATCAGCAGTAGCACACAGGTAGTACTCATCATGTGCCATTGGTGAGACTCAGGCATGCTGGATTCGAGTGTGACCCAGCACATTCCCAGCTGTGATGGCTTTCAGGAGTGGCTCCGGCTTGAGAAACAGCTGCCCCCTGCTGGCTGCGCGAGCTTGGAAGCGGCTTCCGGAATAAATAAGTAAATAAATAAATAAATGAAGAAAAAGAAAAAAGACTTTGCCTTACAGCTTAGATACCAGTTTGGGCCGGGCGCGGTGGCTCACGCCTGTAATCCCAGCACTTTGGGAGGCCGAGGCGGGTGGATCACGAGGTCAAGAGATCGAGACCATCCTGGTCAACATGGTGAAACCCCGTCTCTACTAAAAATACAAAAATTCAGCTGGGCATGGTGGCGCGTGCCTGTAATCCCAGCTACTCAGGAGGCTGAGGCAGGAGAATTGCCTGAACCCAGGAGGCGGAGGTTGCGGTGAGCCGAGATCGCGCCATTGCACTCCAGCCTGGGTAACGAGAGCGAAACTCCGTCTCAAAAAAAAAATAAAAAAAAACATATATATATATATATATATACCCCAGTTTGGCCACAGTAGGGTAGAGCACCAAGTAGGCTCTTAGGGTCCCTACTTTCAGGCAGTGCAGTGGGACAATCTCGGCTCACTGCAACCTCCGCTTCCCGGGTTCAAGCGATTCTTTCCCCTCAGCCTCTTGAGTAGCTGGGCTTACAGGCGCCACCACCATGCCCAGGTAATTTTTGTATTTTTAGTAGACACGGAATTTCACCACGTTGGCCAGAATGGTCTCAATCTCTTGACCTCGTGATTCGTCCTCCCAAAGTGCTGGGATTACAGGCGTAAGTCACCGCGCCTGGAGGAGTATGGCCTCTTCTAAGACAGGACACTCTCTGCATCTGGACCTGGAGTCGCCATTCCTAGCGCTCCTAGCAGTGGAGCTTGGCCCTTTCTCCCGAAACTTGGGTTGCGGGCGACCTTAAGCGCTGCGCATCTTCGGGAACTACATTACCCAGAATCCTCTCTGTGGAACGGAAGCGTGTCTAAGCCAATGAAGCTTCAGAGAAGCGCGCCATTGCCGGGGCACTTAACACCAAGCCGGGACTTCCGGCGTCCTAGCCGTGGCAGTTGTTTTGTCCTGTGGGGTCCGTCCAGCTGTTCTGGGTCTGGATGAGCTCGAGAGGAGTGGTTGTGCCCATTGCACACAGGCGGAGCTGAGGCTCGGCGACGCCGTCGGTCGCGACCCGGGACAGGACAAGGACAGAAACCCCGCCGATCCCGCCTCCCCGCCCGCCCACAGAGTCATGGCGGCGGCCGCTCTAAGGGCACCTGCTCAGGTGAGCGCTGCGACCTCTGGGCCGCACCCAGCCTGCCCACTCAGACTTTGAGGCCCCTGCTCGTGAGGGGCGCCTCCTCGCGTCTCTGCAGTCCAGGCCTCTGTCAGGGACAGAGAGGCGCCGGCGGGTGGGATCCAAGTTGATGTGGTGGTGAGCGCGAGCCTGGCGTAGGGTTCGGCACGGGCAAAGGCCCGGAGGCGGGGACTGAGCCAGGAGGATTTGGAAATCGGGAACATCTTGTGTGTACTGGGAACAAAATGTGAAGCGGAGTTCTGTTTTCTTACTTATTTATTTCGGTTTTTTTTTTTTGTTTGTTTGGAGAGTCTCGCTCTGTCTCTGAGGCTGGATTGCATTGGCGCGATTTTGGCTCACTGCAACCGCCGTTTCCCGGGTTCAAGTGATTCTCCTGCCTCAGTCTCCTGAGTAGCTGGGACTACCGGCATGCGCCACCATGCCCGGCTGAGTTATTTCTCCAGCACCAGGTTGAGGGTTGAAGTTTGACTGTGAGGACGCTAGAAGCCATGGACAATTTTGATCAAAGGAGTTAATCTGTGTTAGGGTTAAGATTTCCAAATCCAAAAGATGTTCAGAGGAAGAACAGAGTAGAAGGCGGTGATGAGGACATTGAAGCATTGAGGGGTTGAAACTGCTTAAGGTTACATAGCTGGTAAAAGGTGACATTGAGCACTAGGCCACAGAGACTCACTCAACCTGATGTCATCTGGCTCCAGGGCCAAAAAAAGCTTACAGAGAATCCTGAATCTATCAAATCCCAGGAGGGACACATTTATGAAAGCCCTGATTTTGGGCACAATTCATGGCTATGGAAGCACTTAAGAAACTCACAGAAGGAAGTAGGGGATGCTCTAGTCCCTCACCGACATGTCTAGATCTTGGTTTTTTATGTTATAAATTTTATTTGGTATTCTATTTTATAAATTTTAAATAACCAGCTTATTTTAAAAATAAATAACCAGCTTAGAGAAGAGGTGCCTTTTTTTCTTTGGCGACAGGGTCTCACTCTGACACCCGGGCTGGAGTGCAGTGATCACAATGTAGCCTCGACCTTCCCGGGCTCAGGTGATCCTCCCATCTCAGTCTCCCGAGTAACTGGCTAATTTTTGTATTTTTAGTAGAGAAGGGAGTTTTGCCATGTTGCCGAGGCTGGTCTCAAACTCCTGGGCTCAAGCAGTCCTCCTGCCTCGGCCTCCCAAAGTGCTGGGCTGACAGGCATGAACCACTGCACTTTCTAGAATTAAGGGCCATTTCTCCAGTCTTCTGATCTGGGGATCTTGGAAAAACCTCAAACCCCAAACCTAGGTCAGTGACATAGGTTATAGGGAGTTGTTGTCATGTCTGTCAACTGCTGTAAAACATGTGGCGGGTTAGCCAAAGAGCTGATACTGGGATGTGCAAATACTTAGAAGTGAAACTAGGCCAGGCGCGGTGGCTCACGCCTGTAATCCCAGCACTTTGGGCAACTGAGGCGGACAGATTACCTGAGGTCAGGAGTTTAAGACCAGCCTGGCCAGGTCATGATGAAACCCCGTCTCTACTAAAAAGACAAGAATTAGCCCGGCATGATGGTGGATGCCTGTAATCCCAGTTACTCGCGAGGCTGTGGCGGAAGAATCACTTGAACCAGGGAAGTGGAGGTTGCAGTGAGCCAAGATCATGCCATTGCACTGCAGCCTGGGAAACAGAGCGAGACTCCATCTCAAATTTAAAAAAAAAAAAAAAAAAAGAAGTGAAACTGGAGGGGGTGAAGTGATATTTGCAATTTCTTTTGTTTTGGTTTGTGTGTGTGTGTGTGTGTGTGTGTGTGTGTGTGAGATGGGGTCTCACTCTGTCTCCCAGGCTAGAGTGCAGTGGTGTGATCTCAGCTCACTGCAACCTCTGCCTCCCGGATTCAAGTAATTCTACTGCCTCAGCCTTCTGAGTATCGGGGACCACACCTGGCTAATTTTTGTATTTTTAGTAGAGACGGGGTTTCACCATGTTGGCCAGGATGGTCTCTATCTCTTGACCTCGTGATTTGACCACCTTGGCTTCCCAAAGTGTTGGGATTACAGGTGTGAGCCACCACGCCCGGCCAGTGTTACCAATTTCTTAATGGGCTTTGTCTGGTTACAGAGTGGACAACACACTGTGGGGTTGAGGGAGGAGGAAGATCAAAGTGGCAGCTACTGCCCTATACCAGGTTAGGATTAATGGTCTAGAGTTGTAGCTTAGGCAATGTGGCTAGTTCTGAATTTGTGTTTTTTAAAGGGGCAACTCAATTTTTTAATGTGAACAGAGAGCTTGAGAGAATTCAGAAAACACCCCTGGATTTTTGGTCTTAGCAGCTATAGCAATGGAAGCTGCATCAACTGAAATTAGCAAGTTCATATCAGATGTAACATTCACTAAGGCTGTCAGGAGGTTTGTTTTGGCTATTCTGAGTGAAAAAAACCCACAAGTATCTTGTGCTCTGCTCTCCTCCACGACAATCAATACTGAGTATTTCTGTGACTAGATATGTGTGGATGGTTTTCTTCATACATCAAATAGTTCTCCACTGGACATCAGATCCCGCAGGGTGAAGTCTCAGTCCCACGAAACTGTCTCCTAACCCCTTTTGATGCCCATCACAAGCCCCAGGTTGTTTTTTCTTTACCTGTGCTTCTGACCGACTTAATATAAATCAGGTTCCCATGACACCTTTCTTGGCTTCCAATAAATTGCTAGAGCCAGTCACAAAACTTATGGAGACACTTTAATTTTCCAGTTTATTTTAAAGAATATTTATTACAAAGGTTACAGATGAAGAGATGCATAAGGGGAAGGAACCCAGAGCCTTTTTTTTTTTTTTTGAGACGGAGTTTCGCTCTCGTTACCCAGGCTGGAGTGCAATGGCACGATCTCAGCTCACCGCAGCCTCCGCCTCCTGGGTTCAAGCAACTCTCCTGCCTCTGCCTTCTGAGTAGCTGGGATTACAGGCACGTGCCACCATGCCCAGCTGATTTTTTGTATTTTTAGTAGAGACGGGGTTTCACCATGTTGACCAGGATGGTCTCGATCTCTCGACCTTGTGATCCACCCACCTCGGCCTCCCAAAGTGCTGGGATTACAGGCGTGAGCCACCGCGCCCGGCAAACCCAGAGCTTTTATGATCTCCAGGCACACCACCATCCAGGAACTTCCATGTGTTTGTCTATTTGGAAGCTCCCCAATCCCTGTCTTTATGGGGTTTTATGGAGGCTTTTTACATAGGCATGATTGATTAAATAATTGGCCAATGCTGATCAACTTAACCGTTAGCCCCCTCACCCCTTTTTGGAGATTGGGGTGTGGGGCTAAACTTTCCAGACCTCAGATCCCGCCATAGGCTTTTCCCTGACCAGTCCCCATCCTGTCTAGGGGTTACCAACCATCAGTCAACTCATTACCATTCAAAGTCACTTATAAATTTGAAAGTGTCATGAATTTTAGGAATTCTATACCAGGAAAGGAGATGACCAAATATGTATTTGACAATATTACAGCCATGTTAAGATTCTGAAATGTATTAGATACTATTTATTGGAGCTACCAAATAGGCAGCTGGACACATAGATGCAAATACCTGGGGAGGGGTTGTATTGGAGGTATCCAATATATGGTAAATACTGTGTGGACGGAGGTGAGTGAGTCATGGCTCACATTTGGGAGGCACAACCTTTAGATTATGGTGATGACACCAATAGGGGGACAGGAAGTGGGGGTTGGGTTTCCTGCTTGTGTATCTGGTGATGGTATTGGACTTTAGAAACACAAGTGAGATAGATAAATGGCCATGAAGGGAGGATATATCTGACAGTCTAGTTAGGCAAGTGACGTAGGCTTCCAAGGAATGAATAGAGATGCACGCAGAAACATAGGAGTAGCTAAGGGAAGATGATACTCAGCTAGAGCTTGAGTTTATTTGCCACTTTGTGGCCTCACCAAGATTTTGAGATGACTTTGGTGTGTCCTGGGGTGTTTCAGCCTGGTGGATGTGGAGGCAAATATGGTAACCTTTTGAGAGTCACTAGGCCTGAGATTGACAACCAATGGGTCTGGGCTTTGAATGGGGTTATGTGGACAGAAGAAAGTCATAGTTGCTGGGTGTGGTGGCTCACCCCTGTAATCTCAGCACTTTGGGAGGCTGAAGCAGGTGGATCACCTGAGGTCGGGAGTTCAAGATCAGCATGGCCAACACGGTAAAACCCCATCTCTACTAAAACTACAAAAAAATTAGTGGGCATGGCGTGGGGTGCCTCTGTAATACCAGCTACTCGGGAGGCTGAGACAGGAGAATCGCTTGAATCTGGGAAGCAGAGGTTGCAGTGAGCTGAGATTGCACCATTACACTCCAACTTGGACAACAAGAGTGAAACTCTGTCTCAAAAAAAAAAAATGTCATAGTTTCTGAGGAGAGCAAATGTAGCACAGAAGTGGAATAGCAACATAAATATCTGAAAACGTTAGTGGTTCTTTTTGTCTGTGGATTTATGCATGGAGGGCTTTATAGAATGACTTGGGGCTACCACCACTATTGAGAAACATTGGAATTCTGTGATAATTTTGGATTCCTTTTTAATTTACCAAGACTACTGTGCATGATGTCAGCCACATTATGGTGTAAACCCTAAATTTAAGGCCATTATCATGTGCTACCTTCATGTCTGGTGATACCAGTACTACCTCAAATGGTCTGACTGCAAATCCCCTTTCCCACTCTGCTCTTTTGGATAATGTACCCTAGCTTAACTACCCTTTTAATCAAGAGGACTAGGCAGAGTTCCTGGTTATTATTTATCTGTAGCACTTTCTTTTTTTTTTTTTTTTAATATTTATTTATTTATTTATTTTTTCTATCACTTTGGGCAAATATTTGTAGCACTTTCATTTCTACTTACAGAGTTATTCAAACAAGCCAGTTGCAGCTGGGTTTGGTGTCACACCCCTGTGGTCCTAGATACCTGGGAGGCTGAGGTGAGGAGATTGCTGGAACCCGGGAAGTTGAGGCTTCAGCGAGCTGTGAATGTGCCACTATGCTCCAGCAGGGGTGACAAAGCGAGACCCTGTCTCAAAAATAAAAAATAGAAATAAAAACAAGCCAGTTGCATTCTTTCAAGGGAATCAGGGGCACACCCTCTTTATTCAGCAAAGATTGCTCCACAGTCCCCCTGGTCGCTCTCTCTTATGCATAGTGCAACCCCCATGTGGCTCTCTGTGGTGAGTGGTCCCCTGTTCTCTCAAGCTGTGAGCATATTTGATGATTAATGAACTTTCTTGATGACTTGTGTTCAGTGTCAGGTGTTGTGTGTTTGGCCATCACCACAACCCTAGGGTGAGACTCCTACTCTCGCCAGTAGAAGGAAGGGGGATTAAAATACTTTAACTTCTGGCAAGGCCGGAGAGAGGGCTATGGTGTGGGGTGGTAGTGGCAATTGGCATGTGTTTGTGATGTCCAAAGATGTGAAGGATGTGTATGTAGATAAGGATTATGTCTGAAAGGCCTTGGGCACTACATTGGGATTCACGTGACCTTTGCTATACCAGGGGAATTGCTAGAAAGGAGGGGATGGAACCCTTTATTTCAACACCACATCACAGACACCTGTTTGTTCACCTGCCTCTTGTTGCCAATGGCTGTTTGATATGATCAGTGGTCCCATGAGGACACAGTGGCACTAGTGGGCAAAGTTTCTCCTCTGAGTTGGAGAACCTGAGAGGTAGAAGATGGGCAAAGGTAGATATGTTGGAGAAGTGAATTGTGGGTCTTCAGCATGGGGGCCATTTCTGGTTTCATCTATCCCATCATAACAGAGCAGTGTGACCTTTGAAGATGTGGCTGTAAACTTTTCCCTGGAGGAATGGAATCTTCTGAATGAGGCTCAGAGATACCTGTACCGTGACGTGATGCTGGAGACCTTGACACTTATATCCTCCCTGGGTAAGGAATTCATATTCACCTGTGACCTGAGTTGTTCTCTGCCCCTCTCCTTTATGCCTCTTGGTAAGAATATCTTTCTCACATCAGGACCATGGGCACAGCTTCATTCTACAGTTGTCTGGAGAAGTTCTGTTGTTGGTTGGATTGAGGTGTATGTACTGCCCTCTCCTTTTCTTGAGCGACCCAACCTGCTTTATTGCAGGCTCCCAGGGAAGGAGTCAGGGTCAGGAGTCTTAACGTCATCCTAATGCATCCCACCTTGGTTGTCATCTGCCTGTCTGGGTGATTGTGCAGATCCAAGGCTCCTGTTTGTCTCAAGTTCCATTTCCTTCGAGTAGGTCACATTTGTTCATGCCACAAATTGCTGTCACTGATATGGTCATTATGTACATGAACTACAACCTATTCTTGCAACACCCTACTTCAAAATTCTTTTTGTGCTATTTCACCAGGCACAATGTCACTCACCTGTCATCCCAGCTATTCAGAGGCTACTCAGAGCGCAGGAGTTTGAGGCCAGCCTGGGCAACATAGGAAGACCTCATCTCTAAAAATAAATAGGAAGGAATTATTTTTGTAATAATTGGTTTCCTTTACTGTGGAATATCAAATGCAGAGCTGTTCTGAGCCAGTATTGGTTATTCATCTGTCCTGTTTTTCCGTTAGTACTTATATTATCCAGGTTCCATGTCGTTGCTCATCTTGGTGGTGAAATGAAGAGCCCCTGGTTGTCCCTAAGATATAAATGACTCCCGCCTTAGCAAGGACTTGGGACAGCTTGGTTCTGAAGAATAGTATGTGAGTGAGGGCATAACATCAGGACTCTATTCAAAGCATGCCACAGACCTCTTCTACTTGTCTAGTATTTTGGTGCCAATAGAAGTAGCCCCACGTTATTTCTGTCTTTGCTTCCCCATTTTTGAGAGTTTGCCAATTTATTAATCCTACACCTTGTCACTTCTGCTGCTACATCCAGCACAGGACTAATTTCAGTATTTTTGGACTCTACGTCTCACTTATTTTTCTTACTGCTCTGTCTGCTATGGTCTTCAATATTGGCTCATAAGTTTTGTATTACGAAGTATATACCCATTGTTTTTCTTTTCTTTTCTTTGAGACGGAGTTTCGCTCTTCTTGCCCAGGCTGGAGTGCAATGGTGCGATCTTGGCTCACTGTAATCTCCACCTCCCGGGTTCAAATGATTCTCCTGCTTCAGCCACCCGAGTAGCTAGGATTACAGGTGACCACCACCATACTCAGCTAATTTTTTTGGTATTTTTATTAGGGGTTTTACCATGTTGGCATGTTGGCCAGGCTGGTCTCAAACTCCTGACCTCAGGAGATCCATCTGCCTCAGCCTCCCAAAATGCTGGGACTACAGGTGTGAGCCACCATGCCCAGCCCCTATGAAGTATATACCCATTCTTTTTTTTTTTTTTTTTTTTTTTTTTTTTTTTTCTTTTTTTTAAAGACGGGGTTTTACCGTGTTGGCCAGGCTCGTCTGGAACTCCCGACCTCAGGTAATCCGTCCGCCTTGGCCTTCCATAGTGCTGGGATTACAGGCATGAGCCACTGTGCCCGGCCTGTATATACCCATTCTTAACAGTCCCTGACCAAAGGATGTTGTGCTCTAGTCATGTTTGGGGTGGGGGGGGGGCCTGGACATATTCTGTATACTACTCACATGTCATCAGCAAATAAGGTTCCACAGGCAAGTTGTTTGCAAACAAAGGAGTTATAGACCCTGCCTTTACTCTGTCTGTTGCTTCATTTAGTCATGCCCTTGACATCATGAGGCCTCCTACATCTGTAATAATGCTAAGCTTCCACAACCTCAACCTGAACTTAACTCCCTGCACATGTAAATAATTTCATAGACTAGTTTTTTGGTTTGTCAGATACTCTTGTGGGTAGGCTGCATATTCAACAAAGTCAACATGTACCTCACCAACATTTCCTTGCTTTTAGGTTGTTGGCATGGAGGGGAAGAGGAGGCGGCATCTTCTAAGCAGAGCACTTGTATACATGTATACAAAGACCAGAGAGTTCACAATGGAGAAGGGCCTTATGAGTGTGGGGAATATAGGACATTATTTAACAACAAGTCCTGCCTCACTGAACACAGAAGAGATCACAAACACAAGCATATTTGTACCAGAGAAAGGCCTTGTGAGTACAGCAACTATGGGAAATTATTTCACCAAAACACTACACTCCACATTCATGAGAGATTTCATACTGGACAAAAGCTTCATGCATGCAGTGAGTGTGAAAAATCATTTCACCAAAGCTCTTTACTCTTGCAGCATCAGACACTTCGTACTAAAGAAAGGCCTTATGAATGTACTGAATGTGGGAAAGCCTTTGCTGAAAAGTCCAGTCTCACAAACCACAGGAAAGTTCACTCTGGAGCAAAGCCTTATGAATGCAATGAATGTGGGAAGTCTTTTGCTTATACATCTAGTCTCACTAAACACAGGAGAGTTCACACTGGAGAGAGGCCTTATGTGTGCAGTGAATGTGGAGCATCCTTTGCTGAAAACTCCAGTCTTGTTAAACACTTGAGAGTTCATACTGGAGAAAGGCCTTATGAATGCAGTGAGTGTGGAAAATCATTTTGCCGAAGCTCTGCACTCTTGCAGCATCACAGAGTTCACACTAGAGAAAGGCCTTATAAATGTAGTGAATGTGGGAAATCCTTTAGCTTAAGGTCCAACCTCATTCACCATGAGCGAGTTCATACTGGAGAAAGGCATAAGTGTGGGCAGTGTGGGAAATCCTTTAGCCGAAGATCTAGTCTTATTACACATCTGAGAGTTCACACTGGAGAAAGGCCTTATGAGTGCAGTGAATGTAAGAAATCCTTTGCTGAAAACTCCAGCCTTATTAAACACTTGAGAGTTCACACTGGAGAAAGGCCATATGAATGCATTGATTGTGGAAAATTATTTCGCCACAGTTCTTCGTTCCGTCGCCATCAGAGAGTTCATACTGGAATAAGGCCTTATAAGTGAAGAAAACTTGGGAAATTCTCTTGCTCAGTCATTGGGATCCTTCTGGGCCAGAGAGTTCACTCCGGATCAAGGCCTTATGTGTGTGACAAATGGGGAATATTCTTTAGCTAGAGCTCTAGCTTCTTTACATAAAAGAGTGTTCCCACTGAATAAGTGCCTTTTGAGTGCAATGAATGTGAGAAAGCCTTCAGCCCTCTCTCATTGGTTACCAGAATATTTACATGAGGAAAATACCATAGATGTGGAGGCCATATTATTTTTTCTTCAGTATAACACTGGAGGAGATCCCTTATGAGGATGCTGTCTGCCTAAATTGAATGTCATACATGAAATAGCTGCATACATTACATACATAGCTGCATGAAATAGCTGCATATGTGGGAACTGCATAGCATTTTTCAACCTGCCCAGGTCTTTTGCCAGACTTCTGTGACTGACAGTTTTCTTGCAAAAAGCATTTCACCTTTACCCCTTGACAGGTGGCCATAGTAAATCATCCTCCTACCTCATCATGATCCAGAAGTAACTTTGATTTTCTTTCATTCACCAGAGGGGTTTTTTAGTATCCTTAGCACTCATTCCATTCTCATTTCTTTCTATCTGATGAGTTAGGCCATGAACCTGACCCATTTTTGGTGCAGAGGACTCTTCTGGTGACTTAAAAAGATAGACTACGTTTTCAGGGATCTTTTGTATCTCACAGGATTCTTAAGATGGAATTTTCCAGCTCACCAGTCACGAATCTGAGACAACCTGCCGCCTATTGCCCTGGTTTGTGTTATAATAAAGGCCCTGTTGCTTAAGACACCTTCAGTCTTCGCAGGAGGCAATGGAAGCTCCAAGTGCTTTTCTCATACCTTACCCTATGCATCTGTTCATCTACATCTTTTGTAATATTTATAATTAACCAGTACATGATTTTCCCTAAGTTTTATGTGCCACTCTATGAAACTAATCAAATCCAAGGAGGGCATCATGGGATTCCTGGTTTATAGCTCATCAGTCAAAAGCAGAGGCTCTGGAGCATTGATTGGCATTAGAAATAGGAGTATCAGTCTTGGTGACTGAGTCTTCAAACTGGGGGATGTGATGCTATGTAGATAATGACTGAGTTGAACTGGAGGACCCCCAGCTTGTGTCCACTGAAGGTTTGCTTGGTGTATGTGGAAAACACCCTGCACACCTGGTCACAGAAGTATGCCATGTTGATTGTTGAAAAGTTTATTTATTTTTTTACACATATGCTATGGCTTCCCTTCTATTATTCCACATCTTTCTACTCCTGCCATACTATTTCTTTCCAAGTTTGTTCTTCCTTAGAGTTCTCATAAGTGGAAAGGATATATACTTGTTGCAATTTCATAATAGCCACATTTTCAGCATAGCCATGAGTTCCACATAATTATCTCAGAACTTAGAGCTTACTGTCCTTTACTCACTATCCATTGAGACTTAATGTGTTATTGGCCATCATAGAAACTTTACTAGCTACTTATGTCATTCTCAATGGATAACTCTGAATCCATGTTAGTAACTTTGTAATTAGCTCAATCTTCAGCTGTTTTTAAGAGATAATCTCAAATCTTCATGCAGATACTATGACTGCACCTACAGATGAAATGATAGTCACTTCCTAGCCAGGAGGTTGGATCATAAAATCCAAGATCATTTCTCAGGAATCAGATAGTCTTATTCCACCCCTGCAGAAATGTCAACATTACAACCACCATGGCAAATATTGATTTAATAAGCAATTACTATTCCTAGATAAGTGTCACAATCTTGGAAGAAATTGTCATAACTTAGACATTCAGAAGAGATGGAGGGTGTATGATAAATTAGTTAATGGTTACAAGGGACATTATTTGGGTGATGAATACCCTAAAGCTCTGTTTTAGCCCGTTTACATGCACAAAATGTGCATGTAACCAAATCACACTTAGGCCACATAAAATTATTTTTTAAAAATTGGAAGTGTTATATGGAAAAATGATGCTGCTTTATGGGATTGGAACACAATACAGATGAAGAGACAGAACATAGTTTGAGGGACCCAGAGCGATGGTACCACCTTGTGTAATTCCCTTAGGGGTGCCTAGAATGTCTTCTCCATATTTGCTCTCACACCCTCTTTAAAGTATTCTCATTGATAACCAAAATATTCTCAAAACATTCATTATAAGAGCTTTACTCACATAAAGTGAAGAACAAGAAGACTTTTACCCACAGTTTTTGAGTAGATGTTTAGTGTCCTAATAGCATTTTTTTGGATATGCATTTTTATCCTTTTGAGAACATGATTTGGAAATGTGAGCTGCAGGAGTATGTTATTCATGTGTTGAATGCAAAAGTTAAAACTTCCTGTCCTATTTAGTGAATGGAAAAATACTTAATACTTACACGAATTAAAAGATCATAAATTACAAATAGCAAGATAATCAGGGATGTAAAGCATCTCAATCCCTAAATGTTACCTAAAGACAAAATGTTTTATACGTACATTTTATTTCCATTGTTACTAATATTTGATTCCCTTCTTTTTGGAAGGATGTCCAGTGATTCTGAATCAATACAGGTTTGTGGGATGTCATCTAGAAGTCATAAGATGGCTTATTCAAACAAACCATATTATGACTACACACACTCGCTGATGCATATCTTCCTGTCACTTCTGTGAAGAGTGAAATTTTCTTTTTCTTCCTTTTTTTTTTTTTCTTCTTTTTTGAGACAGAGTTTCACTCTTGTTGCCAAGGATGGAGTTCAATGGCCTGATCTCAGCTCACTGCAACCTCCGCCTCCCAGTTTCAAGTGATTCTCCTGTCTCAGCCTCCCAAGTAGCTGGGATTACAGGCGCCCGCCACCATTCCTGGATAATTTTTGTATTTTTAGTAGAGACAGGGTTTCTCCATGTTGGCCAGGGTGGTCTCCTGACCTCAGGTGGTCCACCTGCCTCGCCCTCCCAAAGTACTGGGATTATAGGTGTGAGCTGCAATGCCCAGTTAAAATTTTCTTGATAGTACCCAAATTATGTCCCCACAAAACCTTTGTAGTCATAGAAAATCTGTAGCCTATAAAGACAAAGTTTTTAGTAATGAGAGCAGTTTTAGGATCTGTAGGCTCTTGTCTGAATAATTAATAACTTTTGTTAATTCACATATGAAATCAGTTCTGCTTATTTATGGCTAAAATTTATGTGAAAATTTCTATACAAAATATTTAGATTTCCTGCCTATTCTCAATTTGTTAATGTTCTTTTTCACACTTAACTTGGTATTTTGGTAATTTCTTAGCTTTGTTCCATTTTAGTGTGATATATAAATCAATATGTTCCCTGAGAAATTTTTACATGATTTATATAAATTTGTTGTTGTATATAGTTTCTCCTTTGACTCACTTACTCTAAAACTAGTAACTTTTTACTAAGCTCTACTTGGTCTACATTTTTTTTTTTTTTTTTTGAGATGGAGTCTCACTCTGTCACCAAAGCTGGAGTGCAGTGGTGCAATCTCGGCCCTTTCTGCCAAACTCTGGTTGGGGGCGACTTTAAAGTGCGGGGCATCTCTGGGAACTACATTACCCAGAACCCTCTCTGCGGAATGGAAGTGAGGCTGACCCAGTGAAGCCTCAGAGATACCGCGCCTTTACGGGGGCACGTAACGTCAAGCCGGGACTTGCTGCGTCCTCGCCGCGCGCCCATTTTAACTTGGCGGGTCCTTCCAGCTACGCTGGGTTCGGACTGCTGTGTCAGGGAGAGCTCGAGAGAAGTGGTTGTGCCCATCGCACACAGGCGGATCTGAGGCTCTGCGAGGCCGCTGGTTGTGACCTGGGACAGGACAAGGACAGGGGCCGCCGAGCCCGGGTCCCCCCCTTCACGCAGCTCAGGTGAGCGACGCGACCTCCGTGCCTCAGCTGCCCTCCCCACACAGACCCTGAGACTCCTGATCGTGAGGGGCCCCTCCTCGCGACCCTGCAACCCCGGCCTATGTCAGGGACCGAGAGGCAGCGTTGCGTGGGATCCCTATTTCCGAAACACCCAGTCGATGCAGTCGGGAGGGTGAGACTGACCAAGAGACCGGCATAGGCAAAGGTCTGGAGGCAGCGACTGAGCCAGGAGGGTTTATAACTCGGGAACTGAGAACACACTATGAGGCTGTAAGGTTAGCCGAGAGAAAGAATAGACCCAAAGTCAGGCAAGCAGGTTGTATTAACCTGCCAGGCTGCCCTGTAGCAATCACAGGAGGCAGCACCGAGCTTACAAAATGAGGTGTTTATATGGGGTGAGAGAAGCGTAAAGGAGCTTCAGGACTGAGGTCATTTATCCGCTGTAATAGGCAAAGAGATAGTTTGTCAACTTGTAACAGACTTACATCATTCTATGACTTTTGTGGCGGCAGTTTAAAAGATTTTACAGGTATGTGTAAAACCAGAATTTACAAGTATGGATAACAACATTTGTTTTGCCTGTCCTCCCCCGAGCTGCCCGGATGGTTGTAATCAGGCTTTGCTTAATTGTAGCACGTCTGGCAGCCTCTATGTGCCTAAATAGGAGTTCAGAAATGCAGCTGCAGAGCAATCAGTGGGGGTAAGGGGTCAGCTTGCCCGGAGGAGGTTTTCTGGGGCAGGTGGTCTTAATTACCCATTAAGAGGCTAACATTCCAGCCTCTTAATAGGTAGGGGAGGGACGACGTGTGGGGAGAGGCTAGATTTGTAGGGATTGTCTTTCCTGGAACTGTCTGTATTCTTGGAGCAGCATCATATCTTGTATTGTTCCATGGGTGAAAGCTTTAATAAGGTCTTGTAAAAACTGGGCGAGGAGTTGTAAGAGGCAGGGACCAAATGCTAGAAGAAGAAAAGAGTTATGGCAGGACCTAGGAGGTGCAGTAGCCAGGGTGTCCGGGAGTTATGGACAACCACTGGGGCCAGGTGAACTGACGTCTTTTAAGTTTTTGTGCTCGGTCTTTAAGCTTTTTGACAGTGTCTCGTACTAACCCAAATTCATTGTTCATCTAAAAAGAGGCACAGACTTCGTTTCTCAGCAGTGAGGAAGTCTAGACCTCTGTGGTTTTGTAGGGCGAATGCTGCTAAAGAGTCCAATTGGTTTTCGACGTGTGTGATGAAAGAGTCTGCTGTTTCTTCTAATGACGATTGGAAGTCTCAAGAGTGACTGGACATATGATAATGAGGTTCCTAAGCTCCAAACTTTCCTGCTCTAAACTCGACACTAGTTGTGACTCCAAGGGCTACTAATAAAGGAATGAACTGTGTTGCTCTTTGTGATCTAGCGTGTAATGTAGCAAGGACAGGGAGTTCTCTTGGTTTGGAGGACAAGGTTAATGTTGAGGGTAAGGTAGACTAGGGTGCAAGTACCTGTCCAGTGGGTAGGAGACAGAAGTAGGTTGTGGATCTGCACAGGAAGATGCCTGTGGTGTTAATGCAAACAGACAAGTGTATTGCAAATAGGTGTTGGGGTATGTAGGTTCCTGATTTGGTTCAGCTTCAGCTACCCAGACCCCTTTGAGAACTCCTGTCTGGGGAAGGGGTTTCCATGTTTGAAAGGCAGGAGGGGAGGTAATGCGGAGGGACGGAGTTAAGAGGCTGTTAGCTTCAGGGGAAACTGAATAATCTACTTGGAGTGAGGTATGGGAAGAGGGATGAGAGATGGTTTGAGTTGAGCCACAGGCGGAGGGAGGGATGGTGCCTATGTGTATGTGTTTGTTGGAAGAGGCGGCACATAAGGGGGCTTGGCTAAGTTTTTTGGTGTGAAGTGTTTGGAACCTTGGATGACAGAATGAGGGAGTTTTGCATGAGTGTCATTGGCAGTATATGTGGAGAGAAGTTTGCTAGCTCTCTTAGCAAAGGAAGTGGGATAGTTCCCAGTGAGAGTGAGGGCTCTGTCTACAAAAGCAGAGCCTTTTTGGACAGTATGTGAAAAGTGAATGGGAATATGGTCCCTGGGCTGAGAAATTGGGATGGCTGAGTAGGCAGTATAGGAAAGGGAAAAACAGGTCCAGCAACAGGAAGCAAGTGTAGAGGTGGAGCACAACAACAAGGAGTGAGTGAGGCTGAGAGATCGTTCAAGCCTTACAGAAGTGAGAAGGGACTCTGAGGGAGGAGAGGCAGTGTGACTATTAAAAGCGTTAGGAACTTGAGGAAGAATCGGAGTCTGTATCTGGGGGAAGGAGCTGGCAAGGGAAGGAGTTGGTAGGGACTGTATGGGGAGGTGGCCTCTTCTAGAGGGTCTGTGACGTGGCTGATAGCGTCCCATGGGTAGCCAAAATCTCCTTGAAAATGAGCAATGAATAGGTGAGTTAAGAACTTTCTATGTGTGGGAATAGGGAAAGAGGAGAGGACTTCTAATATTTTGTATGCTATGGGGAGAGGCTGTTCCTCATCCTGAGGACCTTGCAACCGGAGCAGGGGCAGGCAGAGGTAATACATGAAGGAGTTACCCGTAATGGGTCTTTAGGGACGGGGTTAAGGCGGAGTTTGGTTGTACTAAGGAGGGTGCTGGAGAATTGGTGGAGGTTGGCAATTGGCGGGTCAGTGGGTGCTTCGGGAACTCTTTATAATCTGGAAAGATGGTACCAAGAGATATGTCCTCAGAGTTTAGCTGCGGTGAGGGTTGTGAAAAGAACTTGAAAGAGACCTTCCTACTTTGGTTTAAGTCTTGCTGTGTTAAGACTTTTTGTTGTTGTTGTTGTTGTTTTGTTTTGTTTTTTGTTTGAGACAGAGTCTTGCTCTGTCACCAGGCGCCAGGCTGGAGTGCAGTGGCACGATCTCGGGTCACTGCAACCTCCGCCTCCCAGTTTCAAGCAATTCTCCTGCCTCAGCCTCCCAAGTAGCTGGGACTACAGGCGTGCGCCACCATGCCAGACTAATTTTTGTATTTTTAGTAGAGACAGGGTTTCACTATGTTGACCAGGATAGTCTCGATCTCTTGATCTCGTGATCTGCCCGCCTCAGCCTCCCAAAGTGTTGGGATTACAGGCATGAGCCACCGCGCCCGGACCTTTTTCTTTTCTTTTTTCTTTAAGGGACGAGGTCTCACTGTATTGCCCAGGCTGCTCTCGAACTTCTGGGCTCAAGCGATCCTCCCGCCTCGGCCTCCCAAAGTGCTGGGATTATAGGCGTGAGCCACCATGCCCGGCCTGTGTTAAGAGTTTTTGGGAAGACATGTTCTCCTGGTAGGAAGGTCCAGTTGGTGATGCCTTCCTGGGGCTTTGGGAGGGCCTGGTCTGCTTGTTCACGGAGGATACGGCAGATGAGGTAAAGTGTTGGGAGGTCTTCTCCTAGCTGAGTTAGAAGGGGACCTATTTTGTAAGAGGAAGGGCGTCCATACATTAACTCAAAGGGGCTGAGGAAGGAGGGTGGTTTTGGGCTGGCTCTGATGTGGGTTAGGGCTACGGGCAGAAGGGAGGTCCAGGGTTTCTGGACTTCAGGAGTGAGTTTAGTTAACTGAATTTTAAGGATCCCATTTGACCTTTCAACTTTTTCTGATGACTGGGGTTGGTATGGGATATGGAGGTGCCACTGGATGCCAAGGGACTAAGAGACTTGTTAGGTGATTTGGGAGATGAAGCTAGGGCCACTCTCTGATTGTATGGAGCACAGGAGGCTGTTAAAAGAATTTGGGAAACTACTGCAGCTGTTTTTGAGGAGATGGGAAAGAATTCCACCTACCCGGAGAAGGTGTCTACAAGAGTAAGAAGAAACAGTTTTCTTAACAGTAGGGATGTGGGTAAAGTCTATTGCCAGTCTTCTCCTGGGAGTGTTCCTCTTAGCTGATGTGTAGGGATGGGAGGAGAGCAGAGGACTCCTTAGGAGGAAGTGACAGAGCACATACAACAATTTGAGGTTATGTCTTTCAGTGAGGTAAATAGGTAAGGGGAAGAGAAACAAGGGTGAAGAAGTAGGTACGGGGGGTACGCACTGATATGGAAAGACCGGTGAAGAGATGTTAGAATTTCTTTGGTTTTTGCTTGGGGAGGATGAGTTTTTGATCTTTGACTATCCAGTTCCCTTGGAAGGAGGTCCTTTGTTGTAGCAGTGACGCTCTTTCAGTGGGAGAATACTGGGTTTGAGTGGTGGGGGTAATGAGGAAGAGAGGGGCAGGGGCAGAAAAAAGGGAGGCTTCTTTTGCTGCCCCGTCAACCTGTTTCCTCTGGAGATCTCATCTGACCCTGTTTGGTGTCCTTGACAGTTTACAACCCCTGCTTTAGCCGGAAGGTGTGCAGCTGGGAGGAGTTGGTAAATAAGGGGGCCATTAGTGATGGAGGTTTCTTTGGCAGGAAGAAATCCTCTCTCTTGCCAGATGGTGGCGTAAGAATGGAGAATGTGATCGGCATATTTGGAGTCAGTAAAAATGTTGACTCATTTTTCTTTAGAGAGGGTTAGGGCCCTGATGAGAGCTCCAAGTTCTGTCTTTTGGGAGGAGGTCCCTAGGGATAGGGGTTTAGCTTCAATTACACGGTCAAGGGAGACGACTGCACACCGAGCGATTTTATGGGAGTCAACTGATTTGGAAGAGGAGCCGTCTATAAATAACTGGTCATCAGGATCGGGGACAGGTTCAGGAGAGATATTAGGGAAATGAGGCTGTGGGTGATCAAGGATTTCAGTACAGGAGTGTGTGGGAGAGAAGGAGTATACCGGAAGTAGAGATGTAGGATTGAGGGAGGATTGAGGATCTCCAGATGTGGAGTGCCACATCTGGAGAGGTGGAACTTGGTTTTCAAGAAAGAGGGCATGGAGTAGTTGGATACAAGGAGAAAGTGCTCAGTGCTCCAGAGAAGAGATCTTGTAGATTTTGTGGGCTGTGGACTGTGGTGTCTTGACTGAATGTTTTTTGTTTTCTAAGGGTAGGGTGGCAGCTACTGCTAGCGCTCTGGGGCAGGTGGGCCACCCTCGGGCGATGCTGTCTAGTAGAGGTAAGCTATGGGAGCAAAGAAAGGAGGATTTCCTTTATTGTTGGCCAAGGACACCAAGAGCTATTCCATGGTTTTTTGCTGTGTAGGGAATGAAGGGTGGAGACATGTCAAGCAAAGATAGAGTAGGAGCTTTACGTTTGTGGAAGCTAGGGATTATGTTGTGTGAAGGATCTAGGGGCTGATTGAATGGGCTTTTAGCTGCTTCATAGAGGGGGTGGGCTAGGAGGGCAAAATTGGGAATCCATATTCTGAAGAAGCCTGCTAGTCTTAGGAAAGAGGATTTCACTCTTAGAGTTGGATGGGGACAGGCCATCTATCAGTGCTGCCTATGCTGGGGTCACGGCTCAGGTCCTGGGGGCGAGCTGGACTCCTAAGTACATCACTGTTGGAGTGGAGAGTTGTTCTTTGGAGGGGAATACCCTATATATAAAAACATATATAAAAATATAGGTTTATATAAAACCCTATATATAAAACCTATATATAGGTTTTATATATAAAATCCTACATATCTTTACTAGCAAGAAAGTTTAGAAGGGTAATAGTGTGAGTCTGAGAGTCCTCTAGGGAGGGGCTACAGAAGAGGTCATCCATGTACTGGAGGAGCCAGCTAGGGGAGAGGTCTAGGAACGTGAGCTCTTGAGCTACAGCTTGCCCAAAGAAATGGGTGCTATCTCTAAAGCCTTGGGGAGGACTGTCCAAGTAAGTTGTTGTGACTGGAGGGTTTCAGGGTCAGTCCAAGTGAAAGCAGAGATCTTGGGAGTCAGGGTGAAGAGGAATGTTAAAAAAGGCATGTTTCAGGTCTGTTACAATGTAATGGGTTGTATCTGGAGGGATGAGGGAATGCAGCATATGTGGTTTGTGGTTGGGAACTACCGCATGGATGGGAAAGACCACCTGATTGATAGCCCGGAGATCCTAGACTAGCTGATAGGAGCCATTGGCCTTTGTGACAGAGAGTACAGGGGTATTGTATGGAGAATGAGTCGGCCTAAGTTGGCTAAAAATACTAAAATCAGCTGGGCATGGTGGCAGGTGCCTGGAGTCTCAGCTACCCGCAGGCTGAGGTGGAAGACTTGCTTGAACCTGGGAGATGGGGGCTGCAATGAGCCGAGATTGTGCCGCCCTGCACTCCAGCCTGAGCAACAGACTGAGAATCTGTCTCAAAAAAAGTGAAACTGAAGGGGGTGAGGTGATGTTACCAGTGTCTTAACAGGCTTTGGTTATAGAGCGGACAACAGACTGTGGGGTTGAGGGAGGAGAAAGATCAAACTGAAGGCTACTCCCATAGTCCAGGTGAGGAGGAATGAACTGGAGTTGGCTTAGGCAATGTGGCTAGATTCTGGTTTTGTGTTTTTTAAAGGGGCAACTCGGATTTTTAGAGAGCTTGAGTGGATTCAGGAATCACCCCAGGGTTTTTGGTCTTGGCAACTGTAGCAATGGGAACTGCAAATGAGATGAGCAAGTTGATATCAGATGTAATATTCACTGAGGATATCAGGAGTTTCATTTTGGCCATTCTGAGGGGAAAAAACAAATTACTTTTGCTCTGCTCTCTCCCCCAACAGGAGTCAGCGCAGAGTACTTCTGTGCCCAGATGTGTGGACACTTTTCCTCACACACCAAGTATTTTCTACGGTGGACATCACATCCCATAGGGTAAGTCTCAGTCCCATGGGACTGTCGCCCACCTCCTTTTGATGCCAGTTCCAAGCCCCAGGATGTTTTTTACCTGTGCTTTTGACTGACTTGTTATAAATCAGCTTCCCTTGACCCCTTTCTCAGCTTCCATTAATCTGCTAGAGCCAGTCACAAAACTTAGACACTTTTTCAGTTTAAAAAAAGAAAATTTATTACAAAGGTTACAGATGAAGACATGCATAGGAGGAAGGGACCCAGAGCTTTTATGATCTCCACCACCCTCCAGGAACACAGGAACTTCCATGTGTTTAGCTATCTGGAAGCTCTCCAAACCCTCTCTTTATGGGCTTTTATGGAGGCCTTATTACATAGCCATGATTGGTTAAATTATTTGCCAATGCTGGTCAGCTTAACCTTAGCCCCTTCTCCCCTTTTGGAGATTGGGGTGCAGGGCTGAACTTTCCAGACCTCGAATCCCGATGTAGTCTTTCCCCTGACAAGTACCCATCCTGAAGTTATGTAGGGGTTACCAACCATCAGTCAACTCACTACCGTTAAAAGTCACTTATAAATTTGAAAGCGTCATGAATTTTAGGAATTCTGTCCCAGGAAAGGAGATGATCATATATGTATTTCACAATATCATGATCATGTTAAGATTCTGAAATGTATTAGATACTAGTTAGTGGAGTTATCAAATGGGCAGCAGGACACATAGATGCAAATATCTGGGGAGGGGTTGATATTGGAGGTATCCAATATGTGGTAGCTACTGTGTGGACCAAGATGAGTGAGTCATGGGTCACATTTGCAAGGGGCAAACTTCAGATTATGGTGGTGACATTACCAGAGAGAGAGGAAATGGAGGTTGGGTTTCCTGCTTGGGTACCTGGTGATGGTATTGGACTTAGTGAGGGAGGTAAATGGTGATGAAGGGAGGATATATCTGATGGCCTAGTCTGGCAGGTAGCGTAGGCTTCCCAGGGATGAATAGACATGAGATGCCTCCAGATGCATAGGAGTAGCTGAAAGAAGATGACACTCAGGCTGGAGCTTGTCCTAAGTCGCCACTCTGTGGCCACACCAAGATATTGAGATGACTTTTTCTTTTCTTTTCTTTTTCATTAGACGGGGTTTCACCATGTTGGTCAGGCTGGTCTTGAACTCTTGACCTCAGGTGATCTGCCCGCCTTGGCCTCCAAAGTGCTTGGATTATAGGCGTGAGCCACCACGCCCGGCTGATATTGAGATGACTTTGGTGTGTTCTGGGGTGTTTCATAGAGGCAAATACGGTTATCTTGTGAGAGTCAGTAGGCCCAAGGTTGAGGAGCAATGGGTCTGGGCTTTCGATGGGGTTAGGCGGACAGAAGTAACTCATAATTTCTGAGGATAGCAAATGCAGCACAGAAGTAAAATAAGGCTATGAATATCTCAAAATACTAATGGTACTTTTTACCTGTGGATTTGGGCCTACCACTGCTATTAGGAACCACTGGAATTGTGTGATAGTTTTGGATTCCTTTTGAATTAACTAAGACTACCATGGATGATGTCAGCCACATTATGGTGTAAGCCCTAAGTTTAAGGCCATTATCATGTGCTTACCTTCATTCATGTCTGGTGATACCAATGCTACCTCAAATGGTCTGAGTGCAAATTCCCCTTCCCACTCTGCTCTGTTGGATAATGTGACCTAGTCTAACAACTTTTTTTTTTGAGACAGAGTTTCGCTCTTGTTACCCAGGCTGGAGTGCAATGGTGTGATCTCGGCTCACCGCAACCTCCGCCTCCTGGGTTCAGGCAATTCTCCTGCCTCAACCTCCCAAGTAGCTGGGATTACAGGCACGTGCCACCATGTCCAGCTAATGTTTTGTATTTTCAGTAGAGACGGGGTTTCACCATGTTGACCAGGATGGTCTCGATCTCTTGACCTCGTGATCCACCCGCCTCGGCCTCCCAAAGTGCTGGGATTACAGGCTTGAGCCACCGCGCCCGGTCTAACAACCTTTTTGATCAGGAGGACTAGGCAGATTTCCTGGTTATTTTTGTAGCAAGTTTGAATTTTATTTCTACCAGCAGAGTTATTCAAATAAGCCAGTTATAGCTGGTATGGTGTTGCATGCCTTTGGTCCCAGCCACTTGGGAGGTTGATGTGGGAGGAGCTCTGGAACCTGGAAAGTTCAGGCTGCAGTGAGCCATCATCGTGCCAGTATGCTCCAGCAGGAGTGACAGAACGAGACCCTTTCTTAAAAATTAACACAAGCCAGTTGCATCCTTTCAAGGGAATGAGGGGCTATCATACCCTCTTGATTCAGCAAAGCTTGCATACCACAGTCCCTAGTTACTCCCGTTTTTTAAGATAGAGTTTTGCTATATCCCCCAGGCTGGAATGCAGTGGTGCAATCTCAGCTCACCGCAACTCCCTCCTCACAGGTTGAAGCGATTCTCCTGCCTCAGCCTCCTGAGTATCTGAGATTACAGGGATGTTCCACCACACCTGGCTAATTTTTGTATTTTTAGTGCTGCTCTTGAACTCCTGACCTTGTGATCCACTCTCCTAGGCCTCCCACAGTGCAGGGATTACAGGCATAAGCCACTGAGCCCGGCCCCTGGTTACCCTCACTTACGTATAAAGCAGCCCCCGTGTGGATCTTTGTGGTGAATGGTATCCTCTCAGCTGTGAGCATATTTGATTAACAAACTTTCTTGATGACTTGTGTTCAGCATCAAGTGTTGTGTGTGTGCCCATCACCATAACCCCTGGGTTAAACTCCTATCCACACCAGTATTAGGAAGGGGTATTAAAATACTTTAACTTTTGGCAAGGCCAGAGAGAGCCCTATGCTGTGGGGCAGTTAGGTGGTGGTGGCGGCGGCAGCACCAGCAATTGGCGTGTGTTTGTTGTGTCCAAAGATGTGAAGGGTGTGTAGGTACAGAGGGATTATGTTGGAAGTGCCTAAGGCACTGCATCAGGATTCATGTGACCTTTGTTATACCAGGAGAATTGCTAGAAAGAAGGGGATGGAACCCCTTATTTCAGGACCACAGCATAGATACCTGTTTGTTCACCTGCCTCTTGTCGCTGATGGCTATGTGTTATGATCAATGGTCCCATGAGGACACAGTGGCACTAGTGACAAAGTTTCTCCTCTGAGTTGGAGAACCTGAGAGGTAGAAGATGGGCAAAGGTAGATATCTTGGGGAAGTGAATTGTGGATTCTTGTTTTCTTGGATTCAGATTTTGTTTTGTAGTATTTCACCAGGTGCGATGACACTCATCTGTCATCCCAGATATTCAGAGTTGAGGTCAACCTGGAGAACCTAATAGATCTCATCTCTAAAAATAAATAGGAAGGAATTCTTTTTGTAATATTTAGTTTCCTGTGGGATATCAAATGTACTGGTGACCCCAAGAATGTGGGTATGACCAAAAACCTCTGGAGGCTCTATGAGTAAACCGCAAACTGTCCTCATGAAAGCAACAGCAGTGTTGAGGGCAGTCACGCCCCAGGTCCTGTGCTCCTTGAGGTTATCTGCCTGAATATCTGGAAGCAGCTGAACAAGGGAAGCAGTCCCTGTAATAAATCAAGTAGCTGACCGACAATTATTCACTTTACTTAATAAATACGAAGGGCTGTAAAAGCTCAGGGACTGTGTTCACTAGAAGCAAAGAACCCCCTGACCCATTCTTTCAAACAGAACCTTTTTCCTTTAGCTTCAATTCCTCGTTGGTCTTCCTTCATTCATCAGATTACCACAAGTGGCCCCTGAACAGGGACATGAGATACAGGGACCTGAATGAAGAAGGTCTGCTGGAGCAGAGGTTGTGGAACTGATTAGACAGATGAGGAACCCCGATCTGCCGGCAGTGAATATAAGGTCAGTACCCTAAAGAGGTACTGGAGGGAGAAGTTTCTGAATCAGGGTAGCATGGGGCAGAATTTGTCTACTGAGGAGCAAAACTACTTACAGAATCTGGTGCGCAGGTCAGTTCTCAAACACTGAGTAAACTTCTATAGGAAGTCATTACACGTAACTCATGGTTTCCAAAAACAGGCACCTCGATGTGGAAGACTGGGACCAGGTAGGGGAAGGTTTGAAATGGGCTCATCAAAAAGGTCTTAAAATAGATCCCTCTGTTTTCTTTGCTTGGAGTTTGGTGCATACTGTCATCCTGCCATTATCCCTTTCTTATTCAAGTGAACAGCAGTAGCTATGCTCTGACTCCCCAAAATTGAAAGAGCCTTTTGGTTCACCAACAGCGCCCATTGAAAGTGAGAAACAGGAGAGAGGGGAGGAGAGCTGGTCTGCACTGCCTCCTTCAGTAGCAGAAAGAGACGCCAGCACAAAAAAATTCTGCCTGCTGCAGAACCCTTAGGACCTTGTGCTTTTGCTATTACCATAAGGGCCAATCCAAACAATCCACAACAACTTGTTCATAAACACACTCCAGTAGAATTTAAGCTATTAAAAGCTGTTGTGGGTAATATGTGGAAGGAAAATAAGTAATAAGTTCAAAATAACATGCATAACATAGGTAATAGTTACCATTAACTAAACATCATTTAGAAGGTATACATAGGCTAAGGAATTTAAATAACCTCACCAGGCATAGCTAACAAGTTGCAGCTGTGAGCTTATCTCAACTTTCTAAGCTTATCACCTGTCCGCAGACCCCCTCCCCAGACCCAGTTCCTAGAAGCGCGGACCCGAGAGCTTTCCTGGGACAAGGGCTCGGCTCTCCCACAGCCCAAGGCCCTTCTTCTACCAGCGCAACAGGTACCTGGAAGGAAACTTCTGCGCAGCACAGGCCGAGAATCACGGTAAGAAAAGAGGGCCCTACAGAATAAAGAGAGGCTATGGTAGAGGACAGACAGAAATCCTGCCCTGCCAGGCAGGTGGGGGACCAGTCACCGCTCAAAGGTTGTCTATTAGCCTGACCCAAAAGGTGGCTGGGGGCAGTGAGGAAAGGACTTCACCAATTCAGGCTGAGATACAACCCTGATGCTGGCATAAAGCAGCAGCCACCGGTGTGAGTGAGTCTGAGCCAATAGAGCGCTGAGTGCAGCGGGGCCGAACTTGCTGCTAGGGCGGCAAGAGCAGCTTGCCACCCCAACTGGGAGTGTGTCAGTGGATGTGAACACACCCGGGACCGCCAGACAGGCTCAGTTTTGTCCAATGAGGAGTCCTGGGGAGGCAGAGGTGTGCGGGTGCCGGACGTCCGTTAAGAGTGGACTGTACATTACCAGTGAAGTGTGGGGCTAACTGGGACTAGGGGTGAACATCCTTAGGGGCTACTGCATACGGCTGAAGGAGGTACCCCCACAGTCTAGGTATTGTGGGGGAAGTAATGAACTCTCCAATGTCATGTGGTGTCTGAAACACTCCCACAAGGGAGACAGTCTAATTGGCCCAAAGTGAAAGTGATTGTGTGCCATGAGGAAGGAAATGGGAGGAAAAGAATCCAAGGAATTAAAGCCCACTCCCTTAAGAGTGCATGCTAAAGAATTTCAAGAAAGCTTACAGTAAAGCTGACCCCCTCAAAGGTGAACACTGAAATAGAATGGCCTGGTTTTGGCATAGGTTGGCCGCCAGAGGGCGCCCTTGATTGGCGAATCACCCGCTGGGTTTTTGAAATAATAACGGGCAACAGATGAACCTGGACACCCGTTTTGTTTCCCAGTCTGCTCCAGACATCTGGCACAAACTTAAAAAAGCTGAAGATGGCCCTCAAACCCCACAAGACCTCCTTAACCTGGTCTTCAATAAATAGACAAAGCTAAACCTAAACAGCCTGGCTGTGGCACCCAGGGGCACAAAAGATCCAATAGCAATGCACCTCCAAGGGCATGTTTCAAGTGCAGCAAGGAAGGACATTAGGCACAAGCATATCCAAATCCGTGGGTGCCAAAAAGCCCTTGCTCCATCTGCTAGCACACAGGCCACTGGAAGCTGACTGTCCTCTCAACAGGCAGACAGAAAAGCCTTAACCTCCAACCTGCAACCCCTTCACCAAGACAAAAGGTGAGGAATCGCTCGCACACCGCAGTTCCTTGACCTAGCTGCTGAAGACTGCCGGGCCTGGGACCTCTGGCCCCATCTACCATCACTGTATCGGAGCCCAGGTTAACTCTGTCAGTAGCAGGTAAGTCAATCTTTTTTTTTTTTTTTTTTACAAGCAAAATTCAATCTCATCTTTAATCAATACCCAGGCTACCTACTCTGCTTTGCCTGAATTCCCAGGACCAACTGATACCTCTCAGGTCTCAGTTGTGGAGGAGGTTAATGGAGTCATCTCACGCCCACGCACCACCAGACCCCTTACGTATTCCTTATTTAATACCGTTTTCTCACACTCTTTCCTTACATGTCTCACTGTTCTACTCCCATTCTAGGCAGGAACCCCCATCACTAATTATTACCAACTCCTCCAAGCTGCACACCTCCCGGCTAAGGCAAGAGGACACCAAACAGGATCAGATGATGTCTCAAGAGGGACCAAAAAGGCCGACAAGGCAGGAAAAGAGGTCTGTTTCCTCTGCCCCTGTCCCTCTCCCCCTCACCAGCCCCGCAATTCAAACCCAGTATTCTGCCACCAAAAACCTTCACTGTTAAGGAGCCTCCTTCCAAGGGAACTGGATAGCCAAACAAATTGAGGAAATTCTAACATCTCTTATCAATGCACACCCCCTGTACCTTCTCCTTCACCCTTCTATCCCACCTCCACACCTGTTTACACACTAAAAAAACCAAACTGTCCTGTATGCTCCGTCACTTCCTCTCAAGGAGCCCTCCACTGTCCTCCTGTCCCTGCACATCAGCTGAGAAAAAGTCTCTCCTCATAATGTATCAAATATTAAAAGTCCTCTCCTCTCTCCCCCATGCGCGCACACACACACACAAACACACACGTCTCAAGAAGAGTTTATCCATTCCTGTTTCTCCCTTTACTGCCCACTCAGCTATCCCATTTTCTCAGCCCTAGGACCATATTCCCATTTGCTTCTCACACGCCATCCAAAAAGGCTCTGCCTTTGTAGACAGAGCCTTCACCCTCACTATCCCACTGTCCTTGGTAATAGAGCTACCAAACTTCTTTGCACATATACTGCCAATAACCACCACGGAAAACTCCCATAACTCTGTATACCCCAAAACTTAGCCAAGCCACCATATGTGTCACCTCTTCCAACAAACACATACACATAGGCACCATCCCTCCCTCTGCCTGTGGTTCTACTCAAACCATCTCCCATCCCTCACTCTCCCCTGAAGCTAACGGCCCTTTTTACCCAGACCCTCCACATTACCTCCTCTCCTGCCTCTCAAACATGGAAACCCCTTCCTGAGACAGGAGTTCTCAAAGGGGTCTCTCTCTCTCCCCCTCACTCTGGGTTGCTAAAGCTGGACCAGTTCCCTCCAAATAAGGAACCTACACACTCCAACACCTATTCTGAATCCCTTGTCCATTTACATTAACACCAGAGGCATCTTCTTCCTCTGAGATCCATAACCTATTTCTGTCTCCCTACCAACTAGACAGGTACTTGCACCCTAATCTACCTCCAACATTAAATTAACCTTGTCCTCCAAACCAAAAAACTCCCTGTCCCTACTATACACTACACGCCTACCCCCACTAAAAAAATATAGTTCATTCCCTTATTAGTAGCCCTTAAAGTCACAACTAGTGTCAGGTTAGAAGCAGGAAGTCTAAAAACCTTGTTATCATATTTCTAGTTGCTCTCCCAAAATTTCCAATCGTCAGTAAAAAAAAAAGAAACCATAGCAAAGTCTATCACTAACCTTCAAAACCAACTAGACTCTTTAAATCAATCACTTTACAAAAACCTCAGAGGCCTAGGCCACCTCACTGCTGGGGAAAAAAAGTCTGTGCCTCTTTTTAAATAACCAATGCTGTTTTTACCTCAGTAAATCTAGATTATACAAAATACTATCAAAAGGCTTAAAGACCAAACCCAAAAAATTTAAAAGACATTCTACTGCCTGGCTCTGCTGGCCCGGTTGGTCTCTCAGCTCCTGGGCTCCCTAGCTGCTTCCCCTCCTCAGCCCTGCTATAACTCTCCTCCTCCTCTTGGTCTTTGGCCCTTGCCTCTTACGCCTTTTCACCCAGTTTTTTACAGAATCAGTTACAAGCTTTTACCTGTGGCACATTACAGGACATGATGGTGTTCTAGGACTACCAACTTGCAAGCCAGCCTCACCCCAACCAGCGTCCCTACTCAGCATGAAGCAGCTAAAAACAAACGGTGCCCCTTTTCTCACACACACACACACATACATATCAATCAAAAGGCTAGAAAGGTAGGGTCACAGCAAGGCAAATCCATAGACCCCCTTTGACATTCTCCCCTGCTAAGCCGAGCTCATGCCCTATAAACAGGGCACCTAGGTTCCAGGATGTGGTCGCACCCAGCTCTCAAACCCAGAATGTTGACCCAATTTAGCAGAATGTTAGCCCCTAAGAACCAAGATGTGGTTTTTCTTAGAACAGCACCTGGCTACCTGCAAACTCCTATATAACCCCCATAGTCTATAAGCCAGGCTGCTGCCTTCACTGCCTGTGGTGAGGCAGCCAGCCTGGCAGGTTGAAATAAACTTGCTAAACCTGACCCTGGGTCTGCCTGTCCATCCTTTTAGTCAACCTTACAACAGCTGACAGCTATTACCAGTGCTGTCTCTGAAAAGTGCTTAACCTGTGCACAAAACAACCCTAGACAAGGACCAGTCCGGCCCCCAGGAATTCACCCTCTGTGAGAACCTGATTGTAGATTTTACTGAGTTACCCTGTAAGAGGTCTTAAGTATTTATTGATCTTTGTATGCCCCTATTCCAAGTGGGTAAAGGTTTTCCCCAACTGAAAAGGCCTGAGAAGTAACTGGGTGTTACCAGCACTCATTATTCACAAGTTTGAGGTGCCTTTGACTATCGGGTCAGATAATGGCCCAGTATTTGTAGCTGAAGTTGTTCAACACCTATCCCAGTTACTAAAAACAAGATGGAAGTTGCATATTACATACTGTCCCAAGAGTTCAGGAAAAGTTGAAAGGATGAACCAAGCAATAAAGCAATTGTTAAAAAAAACACTTCTGTCTAGTAACCCACCTAAAGTGAGACCAGGCTCTACCCATGGTTCTCCTTCAAATCAGATGCACCCAGAAAAAAAGCCAGGATACTCACCCTACAAAGTTATGTTTGGAAGGCCGCCCCCTCTCATTACCAAAATTAAAGGAGATCTCAAAGAAACAGGAGCACTAACATGGAGAAGACAAATGTAGGCCTTAGGTACAGCTATGAAAGAAGTACAAAGTTGGATGCAAGAAAGATTGCCAGTAAGTCTAGCCCAGTCCACCCATCCCAACCACATTAGGACGGGCCCTTTATTGTAATCTTATCTACCCCCACTGCTGTTAAGGTTGCTGAAGTTGTTCCCTGGATCCATCACAGCTGGTTAAAGCAAGCTGCTGCCCAGGACACATGGACCAGCCAGCCAGACCCGGGTCAACCCACCAAACCAACCTTAAGACGAATGGCAAACAGAGACCAAATTCAGACCAGCCTAACCTCAGACACAACTAATAATGAAGAATCATCAAGCCCTGCTCTAGTCACATAACCGAAAGCTGACTAGTCAACGGACTAGCTGACACTTGAGGAATCTCCACCAGATAAATAAAGGTGAACTGAGATTTTAAGTCTTACTGTTATTCTAGTAATATTAATATCTTGTTACTATGTCATGATTGTTGCAAAGCTTGCTTCCAGGAGAAAGCACTCCTGGCCAGGTCTTAGTATAAGATGTCGCCTTTCATTTTAATCATGTTAGCTTGTGGCAATCTTAGAAAGGGAGGAAGCTTTGGACAGATGTCCTATATGCATCTGTACTACATGGGTAGGAAACACACAAGTTAAAACCTTTATATATCAAACCCATTATAATGTATGGGAGCTCCCCTAGGAACTTGTATATGTAACCAAACTACTTATTCAATCTGTGATCTTGGTGATGATCAGCCCTACATCTGCTGTGACCCCCAAACTTCTACCTGGGACTTGGTTCAAGCTCCGTGATAGGTCTGGAAAAGGATCTCTTTACAATTCAACCTGAGTATCCTCCTCTGACAAAGGCAGCGTCAAGGGAGCATGTATCTGTAATATCTGTATTTAGATGCCTGCCAGATGACAAGAACACTCTGTAAAAATAAGTAATAACAGTGGCTCCAATCTGTTATAGCAACCCTCAGCATGGAGTCATGTCAGCATGTCCCTCTTGTGGTTGTTACATTCCTGATTCCAAAAGAAAGTTGACTGTATCCAGTCATATCCCGTACTGGATTAGGGATACTCCATAGCCTCAGGACATAAACTTCTCCAGAAGCCTCAACAGAATCAGTATGACAGCTGTGTAACAGGAAGTTCCTGTCGCCTCACTGAATTTGTTATTTCAAATCAGATTTCACCTGACTGAGGAATAGGCACTGAGGTCCCAACTGGATACAGCGATGCAGCCACAGAAAAAGAGATGAATCCTGAACTAAAGAGATTAGGCATTAGATATTCCAGGGTGCAAGCTACTGATAGCATCGTATTTTTAATATTATCAAAAGGACTCGAGCTCACAAACCTCAGCAACGATTTAGGATTTTCAAATCGTTCAGTGAAGATATTAACCAAGTAATCCCTGCCACTAAAATCTGCAGTTAGCCAAGAATACAGCAGGAAATATAGGAGTTACCTCAGGTTATATATGCAGAGGAACTGACATGGAGAATAGGTGGCCTTGGGAGGTGAAAGAATTGCTTCCCCATGACAACTACACATTTATTCTCTCCACCACAAATGCTCCATAATTAACGCCTACTGGCTCTAATACTTGGCTTTTAACAACTCCTATCATAGGAAGATACTGTGTAGCTGGTTGGGGTACCACCTATACACACACCCCTGTAGGTGAATTAGCTTGTATGGCAGACGGAAAATAGAAAAGGTAAAAATAGCTCAAGGCTATCTCATTTTTAACTCATTTTCTAGGTTCCCTTCTTTAAACCACTCTTAGCATCAACTAGATGTTCCAAACACACAGCAAGCGCCTGCAGGACTCTTGGATCTGTGGTCAGCCAGTCTACAGGCAGTTGCCAGAAAAATGGATAAGAGCTTGTGTATTAGGCATTATTAAACACTCATTCTTCCTGTTACCCTTAAAACAGGGAAAAACATTAGGATATCCATCCTATTTATGATGAGCCTAAACATAGGAACAAATGAGCAGTAGACTTCAAAAAAAAAAAATAAAAAAGAGAAAGATTCACAGAAGATTGGAAACATACAGACTGGCTTCCAGAGAATAATTAACTACTATGGCAGCCACCTGGGCACAAGATGAATCATGGTCATATCGTATTCCACCTACATGATTAATCATTTCATTAGATTACAAGCGGTATTAGAAATTATAACTAATGAGGGCCGGGCGCGGTGGCTCAAGCCTGTAATCCCAGCACTGTGGGAGGCCGAGGCTGGTGGATCACGAGGTCAAGAGATGGAGACCATCCTGGTCAACATGGTGAAACCCCGTCTCTACTAAAAATACAAAAAATTAGCTGGGCATGGTGGCACGTGCCTGTAATCCCAGCTACTCAGGAGGCTGAGGCAGGAGAATTGCCTGAACCCAGGAGGCGGAGGCTGCGGTGAGCCGAGATCGCGCCATTGCACTCCAGCCTGGGCAACGAGAGCGAAACTCTGTCTCAAAAAAAAAAAAAAAAAAAATGATGACAACAGGCAGTTATGGAAATCACTGCCAAAATGAGAATGTTAGCCCCTGTTCTAGTCCAAACCTGGAAAGGTTGGACCCCAGACTCTTTTTAGTGGATGGCTTTCGTCTTTTGGCAGATTCAAGACTCTCATGGGGAGTGTAGTACTTACATCAGGCGGCTGTCTATTACTCCCTTGTTTACTGCCGCTCCTATATAGGAGCACACAGTCCACTGTAGAGGCGGTGTTGGCAAGACACACACACTCCAAAATAATGGCACTAAGTATCAGCCCTTACCCACAGAAGAAATCTCATGAAAAGGTAGAAAATTATGAAACTAACATAGGTCTTCTATAAGGTATTTTTCTTTCTCGGGCCTCCCCTCTTTACCTTCTACGTGGCTTGTAAAACGCAGATGTATGAGTGTAGAGAAGACAGGCCCAGGCCTTAAACATCACTTGTAAAAATAACTTGCTAAGGTGTAATGTAACTCCTACGTAGGCACAGACAGCACAGTAAAAGATTCTAAGTCTGACTTCTGACTGGTTTACTCGTGCTTCTCTAAAGGCCAAAGATCGTGCCCCCCAGGTGGATGTCTGGTTAGTCAATGATGGGTTAGATTCCCTGAAAGATGGGAATGACCTGTGACAGGCACAGCCACAGGGAGGCCAACAAAGGCTGAGAAAAATTAAGTCAAAGAGCCAGTCTGTTCCACAGAACACTGATGTAGACCAGGAAAAAAAAGAAAGAGCCAGTCTGCTGCCACAAAGAAGACAAGTGACGCTAAGAGCAGATACAATAGCAAAGTAACTTCCAAGGCAAACAAATGCATTGCCTTGTGACAGGCCTTAGGCTCTATCCTGCTATCCTAGCATCATGTCTAACATAAAGAAGGTAAAGCCTTCTAGTAATATTTATTTTTAAAAGAAAGCTTTTAAAGGGGGGAATGTGGAAGCTTAACTGTCTCCAGACTCCTGCTTACCTCTGTAATTCCTGTCTAGCAGCAAGGCGGACATGTCAAAATAACAAAATTATAAGTTCTCTCACAATTGTCACGAATTAAATAATTTACGGTCTTTGTCTGAAACTGTGGAAAAATTGGGCATTTTAAGATGGAATGTCCTCAGACTAATGGCAAAAGGGATCTTACAACGCGGTATCCCTGCCAACAGAAAAAATGCCAAGAATTTGCGCTCAGTGTAGTGAAGGAAACCATTGGGCTAATCAATTCCACTCAAAATTTCATCAGAATGGCACTCCCATGTCAGGAAATAAGAGTGGGGGGTGGGGGGATGGACCCACCTCCCTCAAAAAATGAGGGCACTTCCCATCCAGACCACAACCCCTCTTCAGGGGTGGGTCCTCAGAGTAACATATTCCCTCTCCCCAGGAACATCCGGAAGTGCAGGATTAGATCTCCCAGTTAGAGAACAAGTCACATTAGTTGGAGAAGATAGACCCACCAAAATTCCCACCAGCTTTTGGGGACCTTTGCCAACAGGATATATGGGATTAATCTTGGGTAAAAGCTGTCCTAACTTACAAGGCATTAATTACCATTGTCCCTGGAGTTGTTGACTGACTGTGAAGGAAAAATTCAAGTAACTGCCACAGGATCTCTGGGTTTTTTGAACCAGAAGAATACATTGCTCAGCTATTGCTTATTCCCTGCAAGTCACACCCTTCTCCAAGAAACGGGAGATAGGAGGAAATCAAGGATTTGGGAGTACAACTACACGGGAAATTTACCTCTCCCAGCCCACAGATTCTAATCGGCCTGTGCAAATTAAAGGAAAGAAATTTTGTGGGCTTATGGACATGGGAGCGGATGTATCAGTAATATCTAAAAACAATTGGCCCTCATCCTGGCCTTTACAATTAGTCTCTACATCCTTAGTGGGAATAGGAACAGCTCAATGTGTTCTGCGGAATACTGACATTTTACCTTGCCTCAGTCCAGATAGGCAATCATGTACTTTTCAAACTTATGTTGCAAATATAGCTGTTAATCTGTGAGGCCAAGACATAATTACACCATGGGATATGAGCTTATGAATGAGCAAATTGACAGTCTAGGATTTAAAATGTTGAAAAAGATGGGTTATCAGAGCGGAAAAGGCTTAGGAAAGTCCCTGAAGGGAAGCCCTGATCCATTATCTATAACTGGGCAAACAGAAAACAGCTCAGCTTTCCGAATTTCTAATAGGGGTCATTGATACTTATCCATCCACCGCTTTGCCATTAAGAGTGGCTGACTGCCGGGCGCGGTGGCTCAAGCCTGTAATCCCAGCACTTTGGGAGGCCGAGGCGGGTGGATCACGAGGTCAAGAGATCGAGACCATCCCGGTCAACATGGTGAAACCCCGTCTCTACTAAAAATACAAAAATTAGCTGGGCATGGTGGCGCACGCCTGTAGTCCCAGCTACTTGGGAGGCTGAGGCAGGAGAACTGCCTGAACCCAGGAGACGGAGGTTGCGGTGAGCCGAGATCGCGCCATTGCACTCCAGCCTGGGTAACAAGAGCGAAACTCCGTCTCAAAAAAAAAAAAAAAAGAGTGGCTGACTGATAAATCAGTATGGGTGGATCAATGGCCCCTATCACAGGAGAAACTGACTCCCCGCTTCATCAGTTAATAAAAGAACAATTTAATGAAGGACATATAGAAGAGTCAGCCCTTGGAATTCACCAGCATTTGTGATTCAAAAAAAATCAGGAAAATGGCAACTGCTACATGACTTGAGAGCTGTAAATTCACAGATTAAACCAATGGGTGCATTGCAACAAGGTTTACTGTCCCCAACAGGCATTCCAAGAGATTGGCCTCTCATAGATACAGATCTCAGATTTTTTTTATACTATACTATTGTATGAGAAGGACAAGCCTCAATTTGCATTCTGTGTGCCTTCTATTAGTCAAAGAGAGCCTGTCTCTCACTATCAGTGGAAAGTTTTACCCCAAAGCATGCTCACCAGTCCTACATTATACCAGCATTATGTAGTAAAAGCATTAAAGGAGCCTCGAAGCATGTTTACCACCCCTAACGTCATTCATTACATGGATGATATTCTTTTGGCCACTCCTACAAATCAAATATTACACCAGCTATGTAGAGAAATAAAACGAGCCCTGACTAAATGGAATCTCAAAATAGCTCCTGAAAAGGTGCAAACAACCTCCCCATATGAGTACACAGGAACTACTGTTATTGAAAGAAGTGTTAGGCCTCAAAAAGTAGCTCTTCATAGAGACAGATTACAAACTCTGAATGATTTTCAGTAATTATTGGAGGGTATTAATAGGCTCAGCCAAGTGCTAGGTATTGCTTAACAACTCAAACACCTCTATCAAACATTCCAAGGAGATTCTTCACTAGATTCTCCCTGGAAACTTACTAAGGAGGCAGAACAAATGCTTAAGGAATGACATGCCTACCAACTCCACCCACAAAAGCCTCTGTCTGTGTTTATTCTTCCCACTCTCCAGTCTCCAAGAGGACTTCCTTCTCTTTTTCTTGGCGGAGTTTCGCTCTTTTGCCCAGGCTGGAGTGCAATAGCTCAATCTCGGCCCCACTGCAACCTCCGCCTTCTGGTTTCAAGCCATTCTCCTGCCTCAGCCTCCTAAGTAGCTGGGATTATAGGTGCCCACCATCACATCTGGCTAATTTATGTATTTTTAGTAGAGATGTGGTTTCACTATGTTGGTCAGGCTGGTCTCGAACTCCTGACCTCGTGATCTGCCTGCCTTAGCCTCCCAAATTGCTGGGATTACAGGCATGAGCCACCATGCCTGGCCTCCAACAGGACTTTTAGGAAAGTTCATAGATAAAATTATAATGGCAATAGAATCACTTTTTCTATCCAATCAGACAGTAAAATCCTTGCAAGTTTACCTTTCTTTAATCACACAACTTACAACAACAGCCAAACATAGATCAAAAATGCTTACAGGATATGACCCTGATTAAGGGCGTTATCTTGGATTCACAACAGCAGGCTGTGGACTGCATGGGAAGTCGCCCTCACAGATTTTGTAGGAGTTATAGATAACCATTATCTTTCAGATAAGATTTCACCCTTAAATCCTCCCTGTGATTACTGTTCACAAGCCTATTCCAGATGGACAGACTTACTTTACTGATGGCTCTTCTAAAGGCTGTGCTGCTATTTATGGACCTAAACATGCTCAGACAATCAACACCCCCGGAGTTTCAGCTCTACGTTCAGAATTACTGGCAGTTATTCAGGTTCTGCAGCTCACAGCTTTATCCCCTATTAATATTGTCTCTGATTCGGCCTATGTTGTAATGTAGCCAGTTGCATTGAGATTGCCACTATTAAAAGCTCCATGGAACCAGAACTGCTTAACTTACTTCTTAAGACATCAACAAGTTACTCATTCTCATGCTGCTCCTTTTCATATTTCTCATATCCTATCACACACAACTTCCTGGGCCATTACCTCTAGGCAATGACAAAGCAGATAAGCTAATTGGTTCTTTTTTTTTTTTTTTTTTTTTTTTGAGACGGAGTTTCGCTCTTGTTACCCAGGCTGGAGTGCAATGGCGCGATCTCGGCTCACCGCAATCTCCACCTCCTGGGTTCAAGCAATTCTCCTGCCTCAGCCTCCCGAGTAGCTGGGACTACAGGCGTGCACCACCATGCCCAGCTAATTTTTGTATTTTTAGTAGAGACGGGGTTTCACCATGTTGACCAGGATGGTCTCGATCTCTTGACATCATGATCCACCCGCCTCGGCCTCCCAAAGTGCTGGGATTACAAGCGTGAGCCACCGCGCCCGGCCAAGCTAACTGGTTCTTTATTTGAACAGGTGCAAGATTCCCGTGCATTATTACATCAAAACACCTCTGCCCTCACTTGCACGTTTCATCGATCTCACAACCAGGCTTGAGCCACTGTGCAAGCCTGCCCCACCTGCCAACATATCCCTGGTGTTCCACCCGTGGAAGGATGTAACCCGCGAGGCCTAGCTCCAAATGCAGTTTGACAGATGCATGCTACACGTATAGCAGGCATCCTCGGCAAGCTCAGCTATGGTCACTTAACTGTAGATGTCTATCTCATGTTACACGCTACATGTCAAACAGGAGAAACAGCTGGTCATGTCTGATGACACTGTCATCAATTGCCCATATGGGGGTCCCTAAACAATTCAAAACTGACACTGGACCCACTTATGTCAAGTCATGCTTTCCAAAACTTTTTACAATTATGGGCAATCAAACACAAAACAGGAATTCAATACAATCCCGAAGACAAGGGATTATTCAGCAGGCACATCAAACACTAAGATGAATACTGAAACAACAAAAAGGGGGAACAGGAGATGAATTTCCACCTCAAACAAAATTACATTTAGCCTTGTTTACTTCACAGGTGGTAAGACTCCAGGAGAAAGACACTGGCAAGTGTTAGAGGAAAAGAGGCAAGTTTATCCAAAAGCGTTACGGAAATCCCCGAAAAAGGACAATGCAAAGGCCCGGAGGATTTGCTGACGTGGGGAAGGGGGTATGCTTGTATTTTTGGAGATGGACAAACCGTGTGGGTGCCCTCCAAGTATGTGTGACCATGGAACAGGACACTGGAGGGATCCATGGTGGCCAGCTGTGGGCCCAGTTCCTCCAGTATGAACCATGAGCCAACTGGATCTGAATTCGAAGATGGAACAAGGGCCAACCACAGTCACAATCACAACCAAACCCATAACATGGGGACAGATCATGAAAATCATGTAGGAGGCTGAGAAACTGATGGAGCACCAGGGTCAGGCAAAAACCTTGACTCCATGTTCGCCGTGGTGTCCTATGTGGTATGTTTCCCCTATGTAGAGGCAAAAACATATTGGACGTATGTTCTGTTCCCAACCCTCCACCTGAAATGTATCACGATCAGGAAGCGTAGGCTCCAGGAGCCATGACTGCCCCGGACACAGAACAACTAAACTCTCATTTATGAAACGGAGCATCTGGGTCAGAACACTATTCAATAATAGTAATTCTGTTCAACGTACTTTAATATCACCTTCGTTAGAAACATTACCACTCAATTTACAGTCTGTGTCTTCAATCCTTATGTTTTTCTAGTGGCTTTAAAAAAGGTCAACTCCAGGTAAATGTCACCCAACTGACGTCTGTCTCTTGTCAATTTTATTATTGCCTTAATCATAGCACTATATGAAAACAGAACATATCCACGCTAATAATTCTTAGTCATATTCCTGGATTATGGATTCCTGTCAATTTGTCTGACCCATGGGCTGCTACGCTCGCTTTACATTTCGTGAACCTTCTTACCAGCTCACTTGTCACGCTTGTAGAGCCTTAGGCATGATAATTTTTGCTACAGTCTCCTTGGTCACACTGATAACTTCTGTTGTGGTGTCCTCAGTAGCACTAGTTTGATTCAAACAGCCCAATATGTAGAAAGTTGGACACGTACAGCTGATCAGACATGGATGCTCCAAAATAAAATTGATGTGGAATTACAAACAGAAGTAACAATGCTAAAGTCTACTGTTTTGTGGCTGAGAGAACAAGTACAAAGTTTGCAATTGCAGCAGCAATTGCACGGTCATTTTAACCATACTCACATTTCTGTAACCAATTTGGAATACAATTAAAGTGAATATCCATGGAACCTCAGAAGCTTTTACATCCAATGTTACTTTTGATATCAGTGATTTATAAAAAACAGTTCTTGACTTGATTAAACAGACTGGAGACTATCAGCCTTCTTTAAAAGCTTGGACACGCCTTAAACTTATGAGTAAGGAAAATAACAATTTGGGGTGATACCGGAATCCTCACTGCTAATGTGAGACGAAATTTTGAGCGGGTAAAGGATGCCACTGAGGTGACCTGCCTACTTTGCAGAATGCCTGGGAGCCTCGATCTGCCCTACCCCATTAAAAAAAAATAAATTAGGCCGGGTGCGGTGGCTCACGCCTATAATCCCAGCACTTTGGGAGGCTGAGGCAAGTAGATCACGAGGTCAAGAGATCGAGACCATCCTGGTCAACATGGTGAAACCCTGTCTCTACTAAAAATACAAAAATTAACTGGGCATGGTGGTGGCACGCCTGCAGTCCCAGCTACTTGGGAGGCCAAGGCAGAAGAATTGCTTGAACCCAGAAGGCGGAGGTTGCAGTGAGCCGAGATCGTGCCACTGCACTCCAGCCTGGGTAACAAGAGCAAAACTTCGTCTCCAAAATAAATAAATAAATAAATAAATAAAAATTAAAAAAAAAAAAGCTTGGACAGAATTACAGCAGGGCTTGGTGAGCCTTAATCCTTGGACCTATCTTAAACATAATCTCAATGTTTCTTTTATCATTATAGGAATAATGCTATTATTTTCCGTTTTCAGTTCGTAGTCTGTAGGATGGTGTGGACCAACAACTGGCAATTGAAAGCTGTCCAGCCTGGAATTGCCTTCATTTAATTAATGTAAAAACTAAAAGGGGAAGATGCTGGTGACTCCAAGAATGTGGGGTGTGACCAACTCAAAACACCCATGGAGGCTTTATGAGTAAACAGCAAACTGTCCTCATGAAAGCAGAATGTCAGCAAACTGACAAACTGTGTCTGCTGCCAGGAGTGTTGAGGGCAGGTCCTGTGCTCCTGGAGGTTATCTACCTGAATATCTAGAACCTACTGAACAAGGGAAGCGGTCCCTGTGATAAATCAAGTAGCTGACCGACATCACCCCCTCCTCGCTATTCACGTTACTTAATAAATAAGAAGGCCTGTAAAAGCTCAGGGCCTTTGTTTACTAGAAGCAAAGAGCCCCCTGATCCGTTCTTTCACACAGAACCTTTTCTCTTGGTCTTCAGTTCTGCATTCGACCGACTTGTTCTGAGCCAGTCCTGGCTGTTCATCTATCCTGTTTTTGCCTTAATACTTGTTTTTTCTTGTTCGCTTTTTTTTTGAGAGGTGTCTCACTCTGTTGCCTAGGCTGGAGTACAGTGGTGTGATCTCAGCTCACTGCAACCTCTGCCTCCCGGGTTCAAGCGATTCTCCTACCTCAGCCACACTAGTAACTGGGACTACAGGCATGCGCCACCACGCCCAGCTAATTTTTTGTATTTTTAGTAGAGACCGGGTTTCTTCATGCTAGCTAGGATGGCCTCGATCTCGTGACCTCTTGATCCACCCACCTCAGCCTCCCAAACTGTTGGGATTACAGGCATGAGCCACTGGGCACAGCCTTGCCTTAGTACTTATATTATCCAGGTTCCATGTAGTTGTTCATCTTGGTGGTGATATGAAGATCCCTTGGTTGTCCCCAAAGATGCTGAGGAAGGAGACCAAGGCATCTAGGATCACCTCCCCCTTGACCTCCACACTGCATTTCAATAGAAGAAAAGGCTGGGCGACTGGTGCCTCCTAAATCACCTTCCTATAAGATAGGCTTGGTATGGGGGAATCTCTCTGGAAGACACTGTTTTTAAACAAGATTAAACCCCCACCCTACTCCTCCATCCGGAGACCAGAACCCTTTCACATGTAATTCCTAAAACTGTAAACCCAAGACCCTTTCATATGTAACTTCTAAAACTGCAAACCCAAGACCCTTTCACTTGTAATTTCTAAGGCTGTAAACCTAAGATTCTTTCTCTGGGACCATCTAGAGTGTAAGCCTATATAAAGGCAGAGCTTCTCTATGTTAGGGGATCTTGGCCGTTTATACAAAACATAAAGCCTCACTCCTGGGCTGTAACAATAAACACTTCTTCCTTCCCGGTTCGGTGTTCAAGAGGTCTGTTTTTTGCGGCCACTCCTGCTTCAGTGCAACTAAGTCCAGCCTTACCAACGTGGACTTCGGGCAGTCTGGTCCTTAGGAATAGTATGAGTGAGGACAGGACTAGTATTTTGGTGCCAACAGAAGCAGCACATTATTTCTGTCTTCCCAATTCTTGAGAGTTTGCCAGTTTATCAGTCCCATACCTTGTCACTTCTGCTGTTAAATCCAGCCCTGAACTAATAATTTTGGACTCCACATCTCACCTATTTTTCTCCCTGCACTGTCTGCAGTGGTCTTCAATATTGGCTCATATATTTTGTATTAGGAAGTATCTACCCCCATTCTTTTTTTTTTTTTTTTTTTTTAATGGAGTCTCACTCTGCAACCCAAGCTGGAGTGCAGTGGCATGATCTTGGCTCACTGCAACCTCCACCTCCAGGGTTAAAGCAATTCTTCTGCCTCAGCCTCCTATCTGGGACTACAGGTGCCCGCCACCATGCCCGGCTAAATTTTTTGTATTTTTAGTAGTAACGAGGTTTCACCATGTTGGCCAGGTTGGTCTCGAACTCCTAACCCTGTGATCTGCCCACCTCGGCCTCACACAGTTCTGGGATTACAGGCGTGAGCCACCACACCCAGCCATATCTACCCATTCTTAACAGTCCCTAATTGAAGAGGAAAATTAAATAATAATAACAGTAGTCTGTAATTTTTGCACAATAAAGTTTGCTGTGTTCAATGTAAAACCTAACCCCCAGCTCTGCTTGAAATTAACTAACTCCCTGTAAAACCCACCTTATCTATTTTCCCCACTTACTCAGCAAAGTTCCAAGACACCTCAAGACTCCTGTTTTACTTGCAGACCAGTTGCAAGGTCATAGGGTAGATAACACCGAAAGAATATGCAATGCATTTCTAAAAATGCTATTTTCTAATGTAACGTACATCACAAGACATGTCACAAATTAATAACTGTTCTTTGTTCTGGCTTCTGTAACCCTGTTAGCTGCTACTAAGGAGGGAGACCCAGGCATTTAGAATTCCCTCCCCTTCTGTCATCCACTGTGCATCTCAATAAAAAAGAAAGCAGGCCACCTAGCCCCTCCTAAATCTCCTTCCTAAAAACAAGCTAAGCCCTAAAAAAAGTCTCCAAAAAGCACTATAAAAAAAAGCACTATTTTTACTTAAAACAAAATCAAACCAGAAACCTTTTCACATGTAAGTCCTAAAACTGTAAACTGGAACCCTTTCATATGTAATTCCTAAAATTGTAAACTAAAACCTTTCCACATGTGAGTCCTAAAACTGTAAACCAAAACCCTTTCATATGTAATTCCTAAAACTGTAAACAAAGACCTTTTCACATGTGAGTCCTAAAACTGTAAACCAGAACCCTTTCATATGTAATTCCTAAAACTGTAAACTAAAACACTTTCATATGTCATTCCTAAAACTATAAACAAAGACCTTTTCACATGTGAGTCCTAAAACTGTAAACCAGAACCCTTTCATATGTAATTCCTAAAACTGTAAACAGGAACCTTTTCACATGTAAGTCCTAAAACTATAAACTTAAAATTCTTCAACATGAAACATCTAAAGTATAAGCCTGGCCGGGCGCGGTGGCTCAAGCCTGTAATCCCAGCACTTTGGGAGGCCGAGGCGGGTGGATCACGAGGTCAAGAGATTGAGACCATCCTGGTCAACATGGTGAAAACCCATCTCTACTAAAAATACAAAAAATTAGCTGGGCATGGTGGCGCGTGCCTGTAATCCCAGCTACTCAGGAGGCTGAGGCAGGAGAATTGCCTGAACCCAGGAGACGGAGGTTGCGGTGAGCCAAGATCGCGCCATTGCACTCTAACCTGGGTAACAACAGTGAGACTCTGTCTCCCCAAAAAAAATTAATTAATTAATTAATTTAATTAAATAAATAAAGTATAAGCCTATATAAAGGCTGAACCTCCCTTTGTTGGGGGAGCTTGGCTGTTAGGCACATATGCTACCAAGCTACCAGCTGCAAATAAATTCCTTCCTCCGGTATTTGGTGTCCGAGAAATCCTTTCCCGTGGCTGCTCCTGCTACATTTTTGGTGCATGGGCCAGGATGCAAGTCTAAGATAGCAAACAGTGCAAAAGTCTCTTAGGTAGTTTGCCTAGACCTGTGGAGCATCCCTGCAGGGGGACTCCTGCTCGCTAAGGTAACGCATCCTAAGAGCGCTCCCGGGCAGGTATTTGCCCAGTAGAAAAGCCTTGCCAGAGCAGAGCAAGGAGACCCTGCAATGCAGAGCCACCCAGTGACTGAACACCAAGGAGGAATGAACATTTAAGGAAGTCTAGACATTGAATTTGGTAAGATTAAACCCAGAAAAGTAGCCTACCCCATTTTAAGTGAAAGCATGGCCTAATCACCCACAAGTGCCAGATCGGCACGTTAAAAGGTAGCTCTACGTAATCTTGAAAGCTTTTGCTTATAGTTTTAAGTTAGAGAGAGAGCAATCGAATGTGTGTGTGTGTGTGTGTGTGTAAATGTCTGTCTGTGTCGTTGAACGATTTGTAAGAGAAAATTAAACCCAAGAAAGTAGCCCACCCCATTTTAGGTGGAAGCGTGGCCTAATCACCCACGGGTGCCAGATTGGCACGTTAGAAAGTAGCTCTCTCTATAACCTTAAAAGCTTTTGCTTATGGTTTTAAATTAAAGGAAAAGCAATCAAATGTCTGTATTTGTAAGAGAAGATTAAACCTGGAAAACTAGCCCACCCCATTTTAAGTGGAAGCATGGCCTGATCATCCACAGGTGCCAGATCGGCATGTTAAAAAGTAGCTCTCTGTAACCTTGGAAGCTTTTGCTTATGGTTTTAAATTAGAATAAGAGGAATTAAATGTGTGTCTGTGTGTATAAATGTGTTCAACTGGAGTCATCAGTCATAAAAGGTAACAGGCCCATTAAAAAGGGCCTCATGCATCCAGCAATTTGTAAAATTTAAAGACAGCCACAAAAAGCTTAAGTAAAAATGCCTCTAGGCAATTGTAAAAGGATTGAAGTAAATGTAAATCAGAAAGTGCTCCGAGCTGCATCTTGCTAGGCGGGAACAAGAACTGCCGTGTAAGTGAATTAGCATTCTCCTAGCTGTAAGAATTGTTTCTTTAAAGTGTTAATATGGGTCACTCTCATAGCAAGCCCACTCCTTTAAAAACCATGCTGAAGCCGGGCGCGGTGGCTCAAGCCTGTAATCCCAGCACTTTGGGAGGCCGAGGCGGGTGGATCACGAGGTCAAGAGATCAAGACCATCCTGGTCAACATGGTGAAACCCCGTCTCTACTAAAAATACAAAAAATTAGCCGGGCATGGTGGCGCATGCCTCTAGTCCCAGCTGCTCAGGAGGCTGAGGCAGGAGAATTGCCTGAACCCAGGAGGCGGAGGTTGCGGTGAGCCGAGATCGCGCCATTGCACTCCAGCCTGGGTAACAAGAGCGAAACTCTGTCTCAAAAAAAATAAATAAAAATAAATAAATAAATAAAAAATAAAAACCATGCTGAAAATTTTCAAAAAAAGATTTAGCAAAAATTATAAAGTAACTATAACACCAAAAAAATTAAGGGTTTTATGTAAGGAAAATTAGCCAGCACTTAAGGTAAGTTAGCCCCCAGAGAGAACCCTAGACAAGTCCCTCGTTTCCAAAGTAAGGCATGAGGTTATATACGGCGAGCTAAAACACCTCAATCAATTTCCATACATAGACTCGTGGTTGCAGTTAGTGTTAAACCCTCCGAAGTGGCTAAAAGAGCAAGTAGCAACTGTTTTAGTAGCCAAAAGACAGACTGCTAAAAACCACCATCCCCCTCGCCGCCAAAAAACACAGAATCTCAAGGTGTAGGCAGATTCAGTGGCAAAGACAACTCCCAAAGTTTTAGTAGACCCAGCGGCAGAAGAGTTTTTGTCGATAATGCCTCCTCCTCATCCTCCTCAAGGACTCCCTGCCCCTGGGACGGAGGCTTCAGCATCCCCACCAGAGCTGCACACCCCTAAAATCCTCCAGAGCAGACAAAAGAGAATGTGGAAAAACTCTGCCCATTGCTGCTCACTTGCAAGACAGAACTCCCCCTCTAGCAGCTGGTCTGCGACCCAAGGCCGGGGTGCAGATGCCTTTAAGAGAGCAGAGGTACACGGGAGTGGACGAGGACGGACACATGGTAGAAAAGCGTGTTTTCACGTACCTGGCGTTCACCTCAGCTAATCTTATCAATTAAAAACAACCCGTCTTATACCGAAAAACCCCAACCTCTCATTAATCTACTGCAAACTATTATTCAGACTTATAACCCCATTTGCGCTGATTGCCATCAGGTGCAAATGCATCTTTTTTAATACAGACAAAAGGCAGAAAATACTCCAAGCCACTTCTAATTGGCTGGAGAAGCATGTTCCTGCAGATTACCAGAACCCCCAAAAGTATAAAAAGAGGGGGGTTCCTGAAAACGCCCCCAGTCTGCCCGCCCGGGCCTGCAATGCGATCAGTGTGCATTCTGTTAAGAAACAGGACGCTGGCCGGGCGCGGTGGCTCAAGCCTGTAATCCCAGCACTTTGGGAGGCCGAGGCGGGTGGATCATGAGGTCAAGAGATCAAGACCATCCTGGTCAACATGGTGAAACCCCGTCTCTACTAAAACTACAAAAAATTAGCTGGGCATGGTGGCGTGTGCCTGTAGTCCCAGCTACTCAGGAGGCTGAGGCAGGAGAATTGCCTGAACCCAGGAGGCGGAGGTTGTGGTGAGACGAGATTGCGCCATTGCACTCCAGCCTGGGTAACAATGTGATATTGTGCTGGCCTAGAGCCAGAACCGGAGCAAAACTATTTTATAAAATGCAAAACTGTTTTTAGATGAAAGTTGAAATGGCTGCCCCATTCTCCTTACAATAACTACTGTCCTTGGCCTCTGTAAATAGAACTGCTGTTTGTTCTTCAAAACTATGTAAAGCTGCTTACCTTTTCTTATCAGTAACCGCCAGAATTGCTAGCCTTTGCTTACCGGCAATTGCCAGACTAAGCAGCCCAAGCTAGTTCCATCCTGGCTCCTGTGACTTGTAATAAGTAACTAAGGTCTGTGATTTCCACCTTAACCAGATAATGTGTAAACAAATGTTTATCTTGACTTCTGTAAACCACTTAAGTAACAAACGGAATGACAAAAGTCCCCATCCCTTGGAATGTCCGGAGACCCCCACCCTCATCTCTGCCCAGGAGGTAATTTACAGAATCCACTAGCCCTCGGAATGTCTGAAGCCTTTTCATCCCCATCCCTGCCCCTCACCCCCACTCCCAAGGTGGTTTTTCGGGTATAAAAAATCGTGGCACCTCCTGTTGCCGCCGCAGGTTGGAGAGACGTGAGTCCTCTGTGGTCGCCGGCATAAATAAATGACCCTGCAATCTGGCATACTTTTCTCTTGTGGTAACTTTCTACGCTCCGGTCAAATACAACATTTGGAGTTCCCCAGCGAGAAATTGTTTTTTTTGTTATCACCAAACAAAAGCCATCTCAGAATCTCGCCCGGGCGGCCGCTCCCACCTTGGGGGCCTCTGGGGCGGCGCCCCCTGTTCTTTCGCAGGGCCCCGGAGAACCACCGTGGAGGATAAGCGACCTCTCGGCCGACATTCACCCGAAATTCCTCAGGGTCCTAAAAGAAAAAGCCTCTGGAGGTAAGTCTGGTCTGGGCCTGTGTCAGGGGACTGACGAGTCATTTCAACTCTGACCTGGCACATCGCTTGAGGCTTCTGGTAGCTGGTGCAGGGGGTACCAGCGTTCGCTTCTGGTGGCTGTCATAGTGGGTGGCAGCCTTCTGGTAGCTGGTACAGAGGGTACCAGCGTTCGTTTCTGGTAGCTGGTGCAGAGGGTACCAGCGTTCGCCCCTGGTAGCTGGCATAGTGGGTGGCAGTGTTCGGTTGTTTTCCGTAACCTCTGTGTGAGTGAGAGTGAGTGTGTATATATGTAGTCCCACGGCTAAAAGGCTACAGGGCTTGTGTGGGCCTTCACCCGCGGTTCCACTGGGGCGTCGTAGGGCATAACGGTGATTCACCTCAGAGCTGTCCTACTTGGACTTCCATCCTAAGGTGACCAGGCCCGGGGATTATACGGGTACACCTTAGCCAAGACGCCCCTGAAAATTCTTCCAAGAAAGTGGCCGGGCAGGCATCTGACTGGTCTCCCATCTGGGGGGCACCCACCCTTTGTCTGTCACTCTTGTATGTGGTCCTGTCTCGTCTGTAAATTTGTCAGTTTTATTAGAATCCTGCTAGCAGACATACAC